AGGACCAGCCTCCACTTTCTGGGGAGACCGCCTCATGCGGGGGACAAAGCAGAGCGGACCCCGGCCTGGTCTGCGCAGCAGTGCGTCCTGGGTCAAGTCCCAAGCTTCCTCTCCTCCCCAGAACGGGGCTTCCGGACCCCGGGCCTTCGGGCTGCACCCAGCGCGTGCCCGCCCCTTGCTCTGCTCCGCAGCTTCTGACTCAGAGCTCAGCGTCCTGGCTCTGCCCTCTGACATGGCTACCGCCTTCTCTGCCTCCTGCGGGGAGCTCGCCCGGCCCGGAGGCCGGAGTGCAGGAATGGTGGAGAAGGAGCAGGCTTGTCTCGGGGACAGCGGAGGACCATCTGAGCGGTGGTGGGCAGGGCGGGCGCTAAGGCCAAGAGCCTTCCTGGCAGGAGATGCCACAGGCCCCGTGGCAGCGGGTCCCTGGAGAGCCGGGCTTTCTGCCCCAGCCCCCCTGCCCTTTAAATGCGAGGAGCACAGAGCAGTGCTGCTTCTCGGCCAGGGCTGAGTGAGGTCAAGGTGAAGGCAGGAAAGAATCTTCCCGCCCCAGGGCAGGATGGGAGAGCTCCGGGGAGCGGGGCTGGGGCAGAGAGGAGCCGGTGGGCTCCGGGACCTCGCACCCTTCCCTCCCACCGGTCCTCTGGGAAGACGGGTGTAATGAGTCACTCTCCCGAGTGAGGACGTTGACCCTCAGAGAGGGGAGGGCACAGGGCAAGCCAAGAGCAGGAGGCAGCGGCGGGGGAAGTGTTCACTCAGGGCGTCTGAGCAGGCCTCCAGGCCCAAGGGACAAGCAGACAGAGGGCAGCGGGCGGAGGGCGGAGCTGCCTGTGGGGAGGGGGGACCCGGGGGGGGGCAGGATGGCAGCCCCTCCTCTGCTTCGGGGAAGGGGGGGCACGGGGAGTGGGGGGATAGGATGGATGTGCCCTTTCCTAGGGCCAGGATGGCGGTCCTGAAGGTGCCGCCCAGACTTGAACCTGCATCAGGGGAATGAAAGGTAATTGGCTTCAATTACCGCTCATTAATGCAATTAACTAAGTTAATATATGCACGGAGCGGTGTCAGTTTATCAGAACAAATCAGTTAACATGGGCAATTAGAGGGGTTGGTTATTTAAATAATGAATGCCGCTGATGAATGGGACTGATGCGGCTCCGTTGTCACTATTATTTATTAATTGGTTTCACCACTAATATTAGCGGGGATGTGCCTTTTAAATCCGTAAAACACGGAACGAGCTAATTAATTAATGGAGCTGAGCGTTCAGAAGTGAAAGCTTTGATTCCTGGTTTGCTCGTTACAACGGCAGGGAGAATGTTCTAGAAATCTCCCAGCGGAAACTGCGATCTGAAGTCTGCGTAGGAATTCCCCTGACCCTGGGGCAAATAGGAGGCTCTGAGCAGAGGGTGCCTGGCGCTGCCGAGGGCAGGTCTCCGTCCCTGCCCTGGGGAGCGGAGGGCACAGCGAGAAGAGACCGCGCTGAGTCAGGCCCACGGCCGGCAGACATGCCCGGGAGGAGGTGAGCAGGCGGGGAGGCGACAGAGGGACACATTCGTAGGTGGCCTCGCCAAGAAGGGCATTTCAGTAAAGGCCTGCGGGTGGGCAGGTGCTCGGTGGATGTCAGGGGGAAAGTATTCCAGCAGAGGGACAGCGAGTGCAAAGGCCTGTGGTGGGGGTGACACCAGCAAGAAGCCCAGCATGGTTCAAGCAGGCGGTCAGCAGGGCGGTCAGCAGGGGTGGGAGAGGCGGAGGGCGGTCAGCAGGGGTGGGAGAGGCGGTGGGCGGTCAGCAGGGGTGGGAGAGGCGGTGGGCGGTCAGCAGGGGTGGGAGAGGCACAGGGCGGTCAGCAGGGTGGGCAGGGCGGGTGCTAAGTGGGAGAGGCGGTGGGAGAGGCGGTGGGCGGTCAGCAGGGCAGTCAGCAGGGGTGGGAGAGGCGGAGGGCGGTCAGCAGGGGTGGGAGAGGCGGAGGGCAGTCAGCAGGGGTGGGAGAGGCGGAGGGCGGTCAGCAGGGGTGGGAGAGGCGGTGGGCAGTCAGCAGGGGTGGGAGAGGCGGTGGGCGGTGGACGCTGCCATGAGAACCCTGGCTCTTCCTCTCAGTGAGGCTGGGGCCCCGCCTGGGGCCGGAGCAGAGAAAAGCCAGGATCTGAGTGTTATGTTAACGGATGGCTGGGCTGCTGGGTTGAGGAGACGAGGGCACAGGCGGAGGCCGGGAGGAGGTGGTGGCCTCCGTCTGAACACGTGGTGGCCGTGGGCGGAGCAGACATGGCCCTTCTGCCTGGGAAACCCTGGGGTGCTGTAGAGCGGCAGGGGCAGGGGCCGACTGCCGCCCAGGCCCTTAGCTTCCCGCGCCTCTGCCTTGAGCACCCCCATTGCCCTGGCACCCCATCCCAGCTGATCCCTCCATTCAGCCTTCCCTCCCCGAGGCCCTCCTCCTGCCCACAGCCCGAGGGGAAGCAGACAGGAAGCCGGAGGAAGTGCTGGGGTGATCCCAGTGTCCTGGCCAACCTGTTCCCACCAGTCGGAGGATTTCCGGGCTTGAATGGCCGGAAACACGGGACTGGGATGCCTCACCCGGGAAGAGCAGTGGATGGGAGCAGGGCAGGGGTCCCCCGTCATTGGGCAGAGAGGACCCCAGAAGCCCGCTGTGTTCGGGCTGCAGCCTGAGGAGCTATAGGTAAAGGCAGGACTTCACCGGAGGGAAGGTGAGCACCAGAGACTATGGAATGCTGCAACAAGGAGGGCTGTCGGACTGCTGCTCAGTGAGGACCAACCCACCCTCCCCACCCCCCCACCCCCGGCTCAGGAATTCTGCCCTGGGAACACATACCTTAACCACAATTATTTTTTTAAGCTCGGATTTTTTTTGTGTGTATAAGTCTATTTTATTAAAATGACTACATTTAAATTTAAATATTGCACTTCTGTACGGGAGGAAGCAATTCCCCAAAACGTTCAAACTTCTTCCCTATTCTGCAGCTGGAAACAGAGGCTGAGGCTGAGCTAGAGAAGGAGGGCCCCGCCTGCTGGGATTCATGGTGATGAAAGTGGCTAACATTGTAGTCATGCACTCCTATAAGCAGTACATATTCCTTGAGCTCCTACTAGGTTAAGGTGACCAGATGTCCCGCTTTTGGCGGGACAGTCTCAATTTTTAACAATTTGTCCTGCATCCTGTGGCGTTTTAAAGAAGTCCAGATTTTGGAAAGAAAAATCGGGACTTTTTTAAAACGCCACGGGACACGGGACAAATTGTTAAAAATCGGGACTGTCCCATCAAAAGTGGGACATCTGGTCACCTTATACTAGGGGTTGATGGGATTGATGTGGGAGAAACACAAAGCAGGACAGAAGGAACAGCAAGTGCAAAGGCCCCGGGGCACGAAGGAGCTTGGTATGGAGGCCAGTGTGGCTGGGGTGGGCGGAGGGTCAGGATGAGAGAGGAGGCATGTGGGGCGGGGATGAAAAGATAGGTGATTGGGTACCCCCAGGCCACACAGGGCCCTAGAGATTGGGGAGCTTAGTGCTCAGTTTATGCCCATTTTTTCGGGCATGATAATGGCACTCTGCTCTCACAGGGGAAGAGGCATTCTGGATCGGATGATACATGAGGTGGCCAGCCATCTGCAGGCCGTGGAGAAGGGTTTAGGTTTTGTTCTGAGAGGTGGGAGGGTGTGTGTTTCTGAAATGCTTAGGTTTTCACCCTGGTGCTGGGGGGTCGTGGAGCGGAAGCTGACAGTGTGTGTGTGTGTGTGTGTGTGTGTGTGTGTGTGTGTGTGTGTGAAGGCTCAGGTGGGGCAGACGTGACACAGGGAGGACATGGCCAGGGTCGATTTTGGAAGGAGACCGCAGGATTTCCTGATGGCTGGGTGTGGAGTGTGGGTGAGAGAGGAGGCACAGATGGCCGGAGGTTCTTGGCCAAACAAATCCCCGAGAAGAATAAAACTGACATTAGCTGATGCGGGAAGTGGGTGGGGAGCAGGGGCGCGGTGCAGGAGGACCCAGCGGCCCTGCTGCGGACGTGGCAAGGTCAAGGTGAAGCAGGCACCCACGAGGGGACGCCAAGGCCGGCGTGGGGTTGCAGGGACAGGTCCGGGCTGTACCAGGGAGGGATGCCATTGCAGGCCAGGGCCTGGGGGCGTGGCTCCCCTCGGCCTCCTGAGGCAGGAGATGCTGGTTTAGCCCCAGGAGAGACAGACACCCTGGCCTCTGGCCCCCTCAGGCACCTTCAGGCCCCACCCCGAAGACAGAGGGGATCAGCCCCCCAACAACTGTCCAGCAGTGTCCCCGGCCAGTGGTCGGCAAACTCAGTCCACAGAGCCAAATATCAGCAGGACGATTGAAATTTCTTTGGAGAGCCACATTTTTTAAACTTACACTTCTTCAAAAATAGACTGGCCCAGGCCGTGGTGTTTTGTGGAAGAGCCACACTCAAGGGGCCAAAGAGCCGCATGTGGCTCCCGAGCTGCAATTTGCTGACCACGGTCCTAGGCAGCTCTGGGTGTGTGTGTGTGGGGGAGGGGGGTGTTCACTCCACACTGGGGACCAGGACAGGGCGGGAGGAGAAGAGGCTTGGGCCCGGCCTGGGGCCTCCAACTGCTCCAGTCAGGTTCAGGTGGAGGGAGAGCAGGGGGGAGGGGAGGAGGGCGCGGCCGTGGCCTACAGTGAGGTGAGGACAGTGACCAGAACAGGTCTGTGTTAAGCACCAAACATTCATCCACTTCTTAAATCCTCATGACACCCCGATGAGGCAGAGGCCCTACTCACAGGACACCAGGCGCAGAGAGGTGCAGGGACTCGCCCAGGGTCCCGCAGCCCAGGGTCCCGCAGTCAGAGAGAGAGGAGCAGCCACGCCCGCGGATTCTGGCAAGCGCTCTCAGCTGCTGTGCCAGGCCTTCAGGGTGAGCCTTCGGAGCACCGAGGGCCGGGTGCTGGCACCAGGCAGGCAGCTGGGGAGCTGGGAGCCAGGAAGGGCTGGGACACTCACCTCTCTTCTTTACTTCCAGGGCTGCTGGAGAGCCGGAGGCCGGCGGGGACTACGTGAAGGTAGGAGGGGCTGGGCAGGGGACTGGAGGGCTCAGAGCTTGTTCCCTGAAAAGCAAAATCATTTTCTGAGTCTTTTTAGGAGCCAGATTTTACTGTCTGTCCCCAGGAGGAGAGGGTCTAGGGGTTGGGGCAACATTTGGGGTCTGGTTACCCTCCAAGCATCTTCTTCCCTTCATTCTGTCCTGGCCCCACACTCAGGACATCCCGATGCTTGTTCCCAGCAGACCTCACCCCTTGCCGCCGGACCACAGCCCAGGGGTGCTTCTATGCAAAGGCCATTCTCCCGTCCCGCCCGGTTTCTGCGCAGGTGCCGTGCTGGGAGGTGGGGCCGGAAAGGGTGGCTGTTGGTCATCACAGACTCGTTTATCATAAGCGGCATGTGTGCTGGGTGCGGGCGTGTGGAGAATGCAGTTTTGGAATGATGACGACAGCAATAATCTGACACAACATTCTGAGTGCCTACTGTGCGCAGAGCCTGTGCCGGCGGTGGCACTGGAAGGGAGACAGCTCTGAGCTCTTTGCATGCACGAGGTCTCACTTCCTCCCTCATTACCGGGCAGCGAAGGCACTTTCAGAGACCAGAGAAGCGCAGTGACTTGGTCATAGCCCCGAAGCTACTATAAGGATGAGGGGGATAGAAGTGGGGAGGGGGCTAGGATTGCCGTCCAAGTTTACCTAATGCCAAGACAGGGACAAAGCCCTTGACCTTCCACCTCAGGAGCACCCGCCCTCGTCCAGGCTCCTGCGGAGACGGAGCCGCAGCAGAGGGCGAGGAGCACAGGCCCCGTGTCCAAAGGGCTCCTGGGCCGTGCCGGGGCCAGAGCAGAGCAGCACAATGGCTCAGGCTGTGCTTTGTAACCCGGAAGCTCCGGACTTGAGTCCCAGATCTCCCACTTATTTGCCACCTGCCGGGGTGTGTGTATGCGACTTCTCTGAGCCTCAGTGCTCACCTCTGAGAAACGGGGTAACAGTGGCACCTCCAACCCAGTGTTGCCATGGGCTCGATGAGTCCAGAGGCGCTGGCTGGGCCCGAAACAGAGCAGGCTGGCCTGGCTCCTGACCCAGGAACATCCATCAGCTGAGACGCTGCCTGTGCAGTTAGTTCTGTGTGAGGGACTAGTGCTGAGGCGGTGGGGAACGTGCTTGGATTGCCGCCCCCCACCCTCACCTGAGCAGGCTCATGGAAGAAGACCTGGGAGCTCCAAAGCAGGGGGTGACTTTCAGCTCAGGAGCTGGGAGGGGGAGATCACGGAAGGCTTTCTGGAGGAGACATCGAATCCAAGCCCTTGCAGTTGACCAGGAACATTCACTAACATCCTGTCCCTGAAAGAAAAGCAGGAAAAGAGGGAAAGTTCGGCAGAGATGGCGGCCAAGCTGGGCTGCAGCAAGTCGAGCAGTGGCTGCTCCTGGGACCAGCGCCCCGGCTCCTCACCGGGGCGACACCCCACCGGGGACAGGAGCCCCGGGAGAATCAGCACCAGGCCCAGCTGGCAGTACACGGGGCACGTTTAAACCAGCTGTCTGGAAAGACAGTGAGACCCCATCGCTGACATGGCGAGATCCCTGTGAGTGTTACAGGCTTTGTGTTTTTCTTACAGTTTATGGAGCTAAAAAATTAACGTATTACAAAAGAAATTTCAGCTGAGCACTGAGGCGGATTAAACTGTCTCCTTAAGGGTGAAGTCAGAGGGATGTGAGCTTTAAGCCTCAGACAAGGGTGGAATCCATAGTGTTCAAAGCCTGTCTCTGCCCCGAGGTCCTCAGCTTGCAGGACCCCGGGTTCCCAGGCCAGGAAGTGGGTACTTCCTCTAAGGCCAGAGTTCTAGCTTGTGGGAGCACGGCAGCTGTGTTCGCCAGAAACACAAATACAGCGGAGGCCCAGAGAGCTGGGCCTGAGGTCACCTGCCTGAGGTCACAACGCCGGTCAAAAGGATGTGAACATCAGTAATGACTCCCTTTACACCGAAGGCCCTATAATTCTGGGACAAAAAGTCCGGATCCTGATGCTAAGATTAAAAATGATAGGATGCATCTATTGAGTACTTCCTTTAGGCCTGGCCAGTGCTCACGAGAGTTCTGTGGGGTCAGCACAGGCATGTTTTGCAAATGAATACATCTGGGCTCCAAAAGAAAGGACTGGTGGGCTGGAGGCGGGGACACAGCTAGCTAAACCCAGGGGGATGCCCTAACCATTGGGCATCACCAGCTCTCTGCACCCCAGCGGCTGCTGTCAGCTGACCGTCCTGTGATTCTCAGCGGGAGTCCTTGACTCCAAATCAGAGACAAAGTCCTGGGCTCCCCGAGATTTTCTGAGGCCACAAAGGATTCCGTTAACCGCATAGAGGAATTTTTTTCCAGCTTTGGAGAGGATTTAACGCAAAGTCTCTTCCTGTTCTGGGTCGGGTGAGGGGTGCAGCGAGTGGGAGAGGCAGGAGCCCCCGCTGGCCCAAGGGTCCCCACCCCATCGCACCTCATCCCACTCTCCCTGGTGATGTCAGGTCCTCGGCTGCGCATCCCCTGCTCCCGGCAGCCTGGGCGCGCGGGGCTGGAGCGCGTGGGGGCGAGGGGGGTGCGAGGGGCGGGCGGAGGGAGGAACAATGGCCCCCTCCCCTCCCGGGCCGGCCGGAGGGTGGGGTCTCCCCGCCCCGCCTCCCTGCTCCTCCCCCGGCAGCGATGAGGTAATCGCGCCGGGAGAAGCGCGCTCCGCGGAGCCCAGCGGCCAGTCCCGCGCCCCTGCCCCTGCCCGCGGCCGCCGCCCCCGCCCGGCCCGGCCGCACCATGACGGAGCGCTGCAGCCTGTGGAGCGCGCTGTCGGCCGCCGCCTGCTGCTTCTACCGCGGCTCCTTCGTGCAGGTGCAGGTGAGGGGCCGCGGCCGGGGCCGCCTCTCCGGCCGGCGCGGGGGCTGCGGGCTGCGGGAGGGCGGCCACCCAGCCGCACCTCCGGGCGCCCCGGGGCTGAGGGTCCCGCTGCCGCTCCCGGGACTCGGGACTGTGGGCGCCGCCGTCCCGGTCCTGCCTCCTCCGCCGGAGGGAGCCGGCTGGGGCGCTGGGGTCAGGAGTTGGGGTCTCGTTGTCCCGGGGTCCCGCAGCGCGCACCCCGGTCCCTGAGGCTGACGGGGCAGCCCGGCTCCCCATTGTACCGGGCGCCGCTGGGCTGGGGTCCGGAGGCGCCGGAGGAGAGGGGCGGGAGGCGGAGAGATGCCCCGGGGCCGGGGCCGGGGCGCCCGCCGCCCTCCCGCGCTCGCTCGGGCTGGGCCGGGGCGCGCTCCGGGCGCGGGGCTCCCCGCTCGGCCGGCCGGGCAGTGCGGGACCCGCCGCGGCGGGGGAAGGGTTAAACGGAAGGGGGTGGAGGGGAGGACCCGGACCCCGCCTCTCTGCGGAGCATCCTCTGGGATGGCTCTGCTGGAGTGAGGAGACCTGAGGAACCAGGAAGGCCGTGGGGGCGCCGGCTGGCGGGGAGAGGCTCTGGCCTGGGGTCTGGGAGCCTTTGCCTCCCGGGCCCCGGGGGACGCCGGGCACAGCACCTCTGCGCTGCCCGGGCTCACACACGCTCCGAGCAGCATCCCGGCGCCGGCCAATCCGGCGCGCGCAGGCCGGAGGCGGTGAGATCATCTCCAGCCAATGGCAGCGCGCTGAGCGCCGGGGATGCTGCATTCGCGCCCAGCCCTCCCCCGCCAGCCCGGGAGCCTGCGACCCCCGGGGTCGAGGTTGAGGTGGAGGGCACAGGACCTGAGGGTTCCCCACCTTCGGGAGTGGGGGAGGTCCCCCCAGGTTCTCCCAGACTGGGTGATGGCCGGGAAAGTGGAGCCCAGGCTTCCACCCTCATTGGCTGAGGAGGCTACTCGGGCCCAGAGAGGGAAAGGAATTGGCTCAAGGTCACACTGAGGCAGGCAGGGTCTTGGCCAGGCTCACAGCCCCCTCCCCTTCTCTGCCCCCTGCTCCTCCTGCTCCAGGTGTGGTGCTGGGGCAAGTTCTCAGGGGCTTGCTCTTTGTCAAGGAGAAGGGCCCCAAGAGGCCTGAGTCCTCTTCCCTCCTCAGGGTGTGGTATAAGGAGCGGGTGCGCCTGGGGAGACGGTCACCGGGGCCAAAGCCAGGCCCTTCCGTGCCACCCTCACCTGACCTGCATCTGGCCGTTCTGAGCTAGATCTATCCGCCTGCAGCAGTCACTGTGGGCACCTGGAGTGGGGAGAGGAAGAGGAAGCCATTGTCACATGTCCTCACAGTGAGGGGGACATCTGTGGGCTAGCTGCAGTGCTCTGGGGCAGTGGGCACCAACCGGCGGTCAGTGAGGTCAGGGATGTCCGAAAGGTTGGCGACCGCGGCTCTGGAGTATTGTCTCCTCTCATCTTTGCAACTTGGAGGCGGATTCTATCAGCATCCCCATCAAGCGAGGCCCGGAGAACCCCATGGCACAGCGAGGACTGAGCTGGGCTCTGTGTGTGTTTGTGGGGTGCCCCTGACAGCACGGGCTCCCCTCGCATTGCCCTGAGGTCTCCTAGCCCGGTCACCATAGCCACGAAACCAGAAATGTCCCCCTTTGGGCAGGTGGGAGCGGGGAGTCCTGGGCACAATCTCCAGTGAGTGGCCTTGGGCTTCCCTGCTGGGCTGCGGTTTCCCCATCTGGCAAGAATGGCTTGAGATGGCAAGGAAGAAAGGGCCTTGGGAACCCTAAAGGACCACACAGATGTGGGGGGGGGGGCCCTCGGTTCCCCTATGTACAGCTGCCTCTTTTTCCATTCTACTGTAATCCACCATCCAGAATGTTCTTTGTCCACCCAGCCCTTTGGTCCATGCCTTTGCCAGGGTACCTGCTGCCTGACCTCTCAGATCTGCCCGTAGTGGGCTGTCCTTGGTGTATTGCCATCTCGGCCACGAAGGCTCCCTAGACCACTTCACCTCGCTAGGCTTCACCTTCCCTCTGAAAGCCTGCGCGCTCTGTGCCGCTGTCCAGCGCCGTGGTGCTGACCGCAGCCTAGGCGCGTGCTCCGCTGGCTTTTCCTCTCCTCGCAGGCGAGGGGCTTGCTTGAGGACGTGGCCTGGGCTGTTGATGCCTCGCTTACACACCCGTGGCAATTGGTACAGGGCATGCAACGCAGTAGGTGCGGTTCGTGGAATTAGCTGAGATTTCTTTACTTCTGCCGGGATGGGGACTCCCGGGTGAGGACCTCCCTGGCCCCTGTGCCTGAGTGTCCCTGGGGCCCCAGGCTGAAAGGAGTTCACTTGGTGTGGGACTGGGAGGGGAAGGAGAAGCAGGGCTTCGGATTGGTTGCCCATTCTTGCTGTCTCTCCGCCCAGTTTTCCAAGGAGAAGTACATCTTGGACTCGTCGCCTGAGAAGCTGCACAAGGAGCTGGAGGAAGAGCTCAAACTCAGCAGCACAGACCTCCGCAGCCACGCCTGGTACCATGGCCGCATCCCCCGGGAGGTGAGCGGGCTCTGAGCCGGGGCCCGGTTTTTAGACCCTTACACACACACACACACACACACACACACACACGCTGCCTGGCCAGCCCCAGCCCAGAGAGGCTCTGGCTTAGTGCGTGGTGGGGTACATCCCAGGGGACTGACTGCTGGGATGAGATCTAACTATGCCATTTCCTGGCTGTGCAACCCTGAACAAGTCACTTGACCTCTCTGAGCCCGAGTTTCTTCATCTATAAAATGGAGGATAATAACAGGACTTAGCTCAAAGGAATGTTGTGAGAATTGGATGAAATAATCCAGATGAAGTGCTTAACATGATGTCTGACATACAGCAAGCTCGATGAACATTGTCCTTTGTTGTTGTTATGACTTGTTTTTTAATGTTTTGTTATGTGGTCTGTACATCAACCTCCTGCACGTTTGGTTAGCGAGTATCAGTCCTTGGGCTACTCAGTTTTGGCAAAGCTGAGCTTCTGGGCCAGCAGTTGCCAACTGGTGGTCTGCAGACCACTGGTGGTCCGTGAGGTCCGAAAGGCTGGCGACCGCTGTTCTAGGCTGAGGCTCAGACTGGAGCTGATAGTCCTGTTTCCTCTTTCCTTCGAACTGTAAATCTTGGTCAAGAATCAACTCTGCCAGGCCCTGGGCTGGGCTCCAAAGAGGCAGAGGACACTGGAGGGCTGGTAGTCCGGGGTGGGCACTGACAGGAGGCAGTCAGAGCCCAGTGGGAGGAGTGCAAGAATGAAGAGCCCAGCGGGGAATGTGAGTGAGCCCTGAGGAGGGCACTGAGGGGCAGGGCCATTGTGAGATGAATAGGAGTTCGCCAGGTGGGCGGGGTGGGCAGGAGGGTCCAGGCAGAGAAAGCAGTGGGAGGGTGCCCAGAGATGCCAGGGCACGGCCTGTTTGGAGGATTGAGGATTGGGAGTTCCCTCTGCCCAGCGTGGCCCTAGGAGGAGGAGGTCTGAGACCTGAGTTCCCCAGACCCCCTGTTCCTGTGACTTCATCCCAGGGTTTCATGGCCTGCCCCCGTGCCCCTGTCCCTAGTGGCCCCCTCTGCATCCACGTCATTGTGTGCCCCTCCCAAGATTCAGATATCTCTGTCCACTGTGCTCCCAAGACCAGGTCTGACCCTCTCCCCCCTGCCCTGCCCGCCTGCCTCTGCCCACCTGACCCTGATCGCCTGAAACTGCCTGCCTGCCCCTGACCACCTGACCCTGACCGCCTGACCCTGCCCGCCTGACCCTGCCCGCCTGATCCTGACCACCTGACCCTGCCCACCTGACCCTGCCCGCCTGCCCCTGCCCACCTGCCCCTGACTGCCTGCCCCTGCCCGCCTGACCCTGCCCATCTGCCCCTGCCCACCTGCCCCTGCCCGCCTGCCCCTGACCGCCTGACCCTCCACCCTGCAGGTGTCGGAGACCCTGGTGCAGCGCAACGGCGACTTTCTCATCCGGGACTCGCTCACCAGCCTGGGTGACTACGTGCTCACGTGCCGCTGGCGCAACCAGGCCTTGCACTTCAAGATCAACAAGGTGGTGGTGAAGGCGGGCGAGAGCTACACCCACATCCAGTACCTGTTCGAGCAGGAGAGCTTCGACCACGTGCCCGCCCTGGTGCGCTACCACGTGGGCAGCCGCAAGGCCGTGTCGGAGCAGAGCGGCGCCATCATCTACTGCCCCGTGAACCGCACCTTCCCGCTGCGCTACCTGGAGGCCTGCTACGGCCTGGGCCAGGGCGCGGGCAAGGCGGCCGGCCCCGCCAGCCCCGCCGGCCCCAAGGGCAGCCACATGAAGCGGCGCAGCATCACCATGACCGACGGGCTCACCGCCGACAAGGTCACCCGCGGCGACGGCTGCCCCACCAGGTAGGCCAGGACCCTCGTTCTGCCTCAGTCTCCCCATTGGTCAATGGGTTTGTGAGTAATGAGCGCGCTGGGGAGAGAGGGGAGGCCGGGCACCCTGACCTGGGGAGTGACTGCCCTGAGCCTCAGTGTGCAGGAGCCCGAGGAAAATCGGTCTGGTCCCTGGCCCTGGTTCTACCCCCCTCCCTCCCCTCCCCACCTACCTCTCCTGCCCCACCTCCACCTCCCCTCTTATTCCCCTCCCTGCCCACCTACCCCTCCCACCCCTCCAGTTAGGCCAAGGCAGGCATCAGAGTGGAGGGCTTCGCTGTGTGCAAACCACCCCACAGGGAATGGAATCTTGATGAGACGCGGTTGCCTCTGGGGCTGGTGAGACCAGGCCTGGTTTCAGGAGAAACCACAGCAGTGAGCCATTCCCGGGGCCTCCTGTGCACCTTCCTGCCCCGTATCTTCAACTCCCGGCCGCCCTGCGTGGTGGCTGCTGTCCGTACCCCATTGGGTGGGTGAGAAAACAGGCCCAGAGAAGGGAAGCAGCTCGCTAGCGAGTGCTAAGACTGAGATCCAAACCCAGGTCTGCGGACCCAGCCAGTGCTCGTCATTCCTGCGGCTTCCCGGCTGTTTGCAGAGACCAGCTGTTCTGAGCCACGAGCACTTGGCTGGGTCTCGTCTCCCTGGGCCGGGCTGGGCCGGGCTGGGCCGGGCAGGGCTGGGCTGGGCCGGGCTGGCCGGGTGCTGCCGGCCAAGGAATTGACGGTTGGATACCCTGCGGTGGCAGCCACTTGGCCTGTGGTTTGGATGCAGGGACTGTAATGGTGCCAAGAGCCACAGGCCGGGTGTGCCCAGGCATCCGGCGCCGTGGGGGAGGAGGGCCCAGCGGGTGGCCTGACTCCCTTGGGCTTCTCATGCTTCCCTTTAGCCCATCCCCCGAGTTGGGGGCACGACCCCCAGGAAAGAGCGTATGTGCAGGCGGCAGCCTTCCTCCTCGGGTTGTTTTTGAACCTGCTCCCTGGGAGGTTGGACTCGGTAATCTCCATGCCTTCTCTGCCTCTGACGTTCAGTACTTCTGGGATGGGAGTGGAGGTGGGTCCTGAGGTTGGCTGAGGTCCTGAACGGGGCTCTCTGTTCACGAAGGTGTCTGCCCCACAGCACGTCCCTGCCCCACCCCCGGGAGTCCATCCGCAGCTGTGCGCTCAGCATGGACCAGATCCCAGACCTGCACTCGCCCATGCCCCCCATCTCCGAGAGCCCCAGCTCCCCCGCCTACAGCACCGGTAAGGCCAGCGGCGGGCCATGATTTTGTGCGTGTGCATGCTTTTGATGAGTTCTGTTACTGTGTGTGATTGTGTGTGCTTCTGCCTCTTTTCTGAGAGCAAGGCCCTGAAAAATGTACCCTAAGAACCTGCCAGCAGAGCTATTTTTAAAAATATATTTGCTGACTTCAGAGAGGGAGAGAGAGATGGAAACATCAATGATGAGAGAGAATCATCAATCGGCTACCTCCTGCACACACTGAAGATTCAGCCCACAAACCAGGCATGTGCCCTTGGCCGGAATCGAACCTGGGACGCTTCAGTCCACAGGCTGATGTTCTATCTTCTGAGCCAAACCGACTAGAGGTCTGGCAGAGCTATTGATGGTGACATACAAACGGATCCACGGCTTGCTCATTGCAAGTTTGAGTCCCCAAACACAGACCAGAAACTTTATCATAACTATCCCCCTTCAAATCAACATGCCTGAGTGTGCAAGTTAAAACCCCTTGTCAGAAATTATCAACTGGACAATTTCTAAGCAACATGGTGGACTCAAGGACCCAGGAGCCAGGTTTTTACCCAGCTCTCCCGCTCGCTGGCTGGGTGACCTTGCACAGGTCAGCTCACCTCTCTGAGCCTCGGTTTTCTCATCTGCAGAACGAGGACAATAAAAGTACTTATTCCTCAGGGTCCTGAGAAGGTTAAATGGACCCATGTGCCAAGAAGGGCTCAATTAGCATCACCTCTCTCTCTCTCTTTTTATATATCTATTTTATTGAGTTTTTACAGAGAGGAAGAGAGAGGGATAGAAAGCTAGGAACATCAATCAGCTGCCTCCTGCACACCCCCTACTGGGGATGTGCCCGCAACCAAGGTACATGCCCTTGACCGGAATCAGACCTGGGACCCATCAGTCAGCAGGCCGACGCTCTATCCATTGAGCCAAACTGGTTTCGGCATCATCACCTCTCATTTTGATGATGCTTTTACTGTTGTTGACCAGAGTATCTCCAACATATCGCCATACGAACTCACTAAGTCATTATTCCTAATCCATCGAGAAATAATTCCGTGTGGCACCCTGAACCCCAGCAAGTGCTTCGCTTCCCCCAGGCTGCGGCAGCTCAGGGCGGCATGTGCAGACTCCTGGGGCAGGGATTGCCAGGCCTCGCTGAGGGCGTCTGCCGGCCTGGAAAAAGGGGTGTCAGCTCTAGGGGAGATGGAGGCTGGCCTCCGGGAAGGAGGTGGGGAAGCGCCTGGGTGGAGCCATGGTAACATCCTCTCCCTTTCTCTCCCTGCAGTGACCCGTGCTCACGCTGCCCCCACAGCCCCCACAGCCACCGTGCTGCCCGCCTCCCCGGTCACCCGCCGCTGCAGCGAACCCCAGCTATGCCCCGGAAGTGCCCCAAAGCCCCCCGGAGAGCTGGACAAGGGCCCTCACGCCAGTCCTTCCCACACCCTCGGCAAAGCCTCCCCATCCCCGTCGCTCAGCAGCTACAGCGACCCGGACTCCGGCCATTACTGCCAGCTGCAGCCTCCGGTCCGTGGCAGCCGCGAGTGGGCAGCAGCCGAGGCCTCCGGCCGGCAGGCCAAGAGCCAGGGAGAGCGGCTGAAGGAACTGTCAGAGAATGAGACCCCCGACGGGGCCTTCACAGTCCCCATCATAGAAGCCACCTCCTCCTTCAACCCGGCCACGTTCCAGTCACAGCTCATCCCCAAGGATAACCGGCCGCTGGAGGTGGGCCTCCTGCGCAAGGTCAAGGAGCTGCTGGCCGAGGTGGACGCCCGGACGCTGGCTCAGCACGTCACCAAGGTTGACTGCCTGGTAGGTACCCGGCGCGGCCTGGGATGGGAGCAGCACCCCAGCCCCGGGCTTTAGGGCTGGGACCAGGGTGGCCCCTAAATTCCCCAAATAGAGCCAGTGGGCCTGGGTTCTGGCTTCATGGCTGCCCTTTACTTGCTGTGTGATGCTGGGCCGATCACTTTGCCTCTCTGGGCCTCCATTTCCCCTTTTATAAAAAGTTGACCTGGCCTGTGTGGCTCAGTTGGCTGGGTGTCATTCCGTGCACCGAGGGGTTGCAGGTTTGAAGGTTTGATTCCTGGTCAGGGCACTACCCAGTTTCATGTTTGGTCCCCGATAGGGGGCATGAAGGAGGCAGCTGATCGATGACTCACTCTCACATGGATGCTTCTCTCTCCCTCCTCTCCCTCTCTCTCTTAAAAACAAACAATAGAAATGTTTTTAAAAATTTTATAGAGACTTTTATTTTTTATTTATTTTTTGTTAAATATATTTTATTGATTTTGTACAGAGAGGAAAGGAGAGAGATAGAGAGTTAGAAACATCGATGAGAAAGAGTCATCGATCAGCTGCCTCTTGCACACCCCCTACTGGGGATATGCCCGCAACCAAGGCACATGCCCTTGACCGGAATCAAACCCGGGACCCTTCAGTCCCCAAGCCGACGCTCTACCACTGAGCCAAACCGGTTTCGGCAAAAATTTTATAGAGACTTTTAAAAAGCAAAAAGCAAGATATTACTTCCTCCAGATGTCAGCTTGGCATTGGAACGGGGCGGTCCTGGAACCCAGTGGTGTCTGACCTCCTGGGCCCTGAGTCTGGCTGAATTCCGAGCTGGGCCAGGGAATGTAAATGACCCAATTCCCCCCCCACAACCCTGTGGACAAAATAACCAAAACTCAGAACCTGGGCCCATACATGGTCAAAGAAAGCCCAGTGTTTGCTCTGGATGAGCCTTTGCTCCTCTCAGAACCCCAACTACCTCTGCACCTCATTTTCGCCCTCTGAGGTTTGGGGTGCACCGATTACTTGGTGGCACTGGTCCCCAAGCTCAGGAAGCAGGAAGAGAGAGGGCAGGGATGCTCTGGGAAGAGCACTAAGGTGTGAGGGGAGCAGCCCGGGTCCTAGGCCCCGTGCGCCATTGGACTGGCCCTCTCTCTCCTCGGGACTCAGGTTGGCCTTGGGAATAAGGCAGTCCTGCTCCTTACCCTTAGCCGAGTATTTACCATTTACCAGCCACCTCTGGGCCTTTCCCTTTTACCCCTCATTTCGCAGGTGAGGAAAAGGAGGCTCATGTGCTCCTTTTCCAGTAGTGGGTTAGCCGTGGAGCTGGAATCCAGCCTCCCAGCCAGGCCGCCCTCCCAGATAAAGCTTTCTGACTCCCAGATGGCTGGGGCCAGCCCAGACAGGAAATTAATCAGCCCTCTGGGCGTCCTTGCAGGTTGCTAGGATACTGGGCGTTACCAAGGAGATGCAGACCCTAATGGGAGTCCGCTGGGGCATGGAGCTGCTCACCCTCCCCCATGGCCGGCAGCTACGACTAGACCTGCTGGAAAGGTAAGGGAAACACGCCCCAGCTGGCCAATCACAGGCTCAGCCTGGCTCCCAGGGCCTCTGGCCACGCCCCCTAGCCCACTGACCAAGTGCAACTTGTCATCCTTCTGCTCCAGGCAATCCTGGTTTCCCCAAGGCCCAGTCCTGTAGGGATTCACCTCTGCATCCTCTTGACCAATCATAGTCCATGAATCTCTGCTCCGCCCACCAGCTCTCTTGCCCCCTAACCTCGTGGACCCCCTCCCAGTTTGGGCTCTGCTCTCCTCCACCCACTGGGGGCCTCACCCCTGGCAGTGGCAGGGACCCTCCCCGCCCCCTGGGCCCCGCCCCCTGACCTGGCCTCTGCCACAGGTTCCACACCATGTCCATCATGCTGGCTGTGGACATCCTGGGCTGCACGGGCTCCGCGGAGGAGCGGGCCGCGCTTCTGCACAAGACCATCCAGCTGGCCGCGGAGCTCCGGGGCACCATGGGCAACATGTTCAGTTTCGCCGCGGTCATGGGCGCCCTGGATATGGCCCAGGTGAGGGGCCCTGCAGAGTGGGTTCAGGCTGCGTTCCTTCGGGGTGGCCGTGTCGTGACCCTAGGAGAACTCGGCAGCACTGGGGAAGGGGCACCTGGAAGAGCGGGGTCCTCCGACACCAAGTCTTTCCCTTCTCTGGGCCTCGTCTCCACCGGTAGAATACAGAAGGTGCATACAGGAGTCTAAGGAATAAATGTGAAATGGCTGTCACTCAGTGAGCACTTACTGAGTGCTGGGTGCTAGGGCCACACTAAATACTGGACAGAACAATCTCATGGGGTAAATGTCTTTGTTGTCCCCGTCTTACGGATGGAGAAATTGAGGCAGAGCAGTGCTTGCCTGAGGTCACATAGCCAGAGGCTGAAAAAAATTGGGATTAGAACCAGGTCTGTCTGAATTTCATAGCCCAAACCTCACCCACACTACACTTCCTCTCGCATGCCTGGTAAATAGCAACAATGGGGTCCTACAGGCAGTGGTTCCACTCCCAGCTCTGCCACTTAGTTTTGGAATGGCCTTGGGCAAGTCATTCCTTTCTCTGAGCCTTAGTTTCCCCATCTGTAAAATGGGTTGGGGGGGGGGCTTCATGAGGACTTAGCACCGCCCCTGACCCATGAATGGTGATCCTCAACCGCACATCGGGGCACCCACTCAGCAGGGTGGCCGGTGCCCTCGCCGGCCGCTCTCCTGGCTGGCCACTCACACTCTGGTCTCCCCAGATTGCCCGGCTGGAGCAGACATGGATGACCCTGCGACAGCGACACACGGAGGGTGCCATCCTCTACGAGAAGAAGCTCAAGCCGTTTCTCAAGAGCCTCAACGAGGGCAAAGGTACCTCCCCTGCCGCTGTGTGACCCTGCATGGGTTTCAGCCCTCTCTGGGCCAGGCGAGACGTCCCCGAGAGGAGGGTGGTGAGAGCTTGGCTGAGCTCCAGGCGAGCTGTGCTGGCAGCTGGGTCAGCGGCCAGGTGTGGCCCTTTCGGCCAGGCCGAGGGTGCCACAGATGTAGTTGAAAGAATCGGAAAGGAGAGGTCTGTCCAGGAGTCAGGAGCCCTGGGGTTTTCTGGGACCTCGGGCAGGCCCCACCCGTCCCCCTTCTGTGACTCAGTTTGTGGGGCCGCAGTGGGCGGGGGGCCTCCAGAGTCTAAGAGCCGCTGCCTCCCTCCTGGCAGAAGGCCCGCCGCTGAGCAACACCACGTTTCCTCACGTGCTGCCGCTCATCACTCTGCTCGAGTGCGACGCGACCCTGGCCGAGGGACCCGAGCCCTGGGGCAGCACGGAGCACGGCGTGGAGGTGGTGCTGGCGCACCTGCAGGCGGCCCGCACCGTGGCGCACCACGGAGGCCTGTACCACACCAACGCCGAGGTCAAGCTGCAGGGTGAGTCCTTCGGGCCTGGGCTTCCCTCCTCTTGCCTTGCTCTCCCCTTCCCTCCCAATGTTCGTTCTCTTTTCTCCGCCCCTCTTTCCTACCCTGTCTCCCAGACTCATTTTCTCATCCCTTTTCTTCCTCACTCATCCTTTCAGCAAGCAATTGTTAGTGGCAGGCACCAGGTAGACACCGATGATTCAAAGAGCATCAGAGCTGTGGGTCTTAGCTTCTCTGAGCCTCAGTTTTCTCATCTGCGAAGTGGGTGTTCTAGGAGACCTACGTTACAAGGCTGTTTGCACAGAGCTATGCCCGGGGGCCTGGGGCTGAGGCAGACCTGCCCTGCCTGCCAGGAGCGCTTAGCCCCGGCGAAAGGGAGAGAACTCTCACAAAAGGCGCAGAGAAAGTGGTTTCAGATTATCCACTTTTACTGCCTTAGGCATTATTTAGTCATACACGTTTACTACAAACAAATTGCAAATCAAAGCTGAGCAAAAACAGGTGAAAAAAGTCACCTATACCCAGAGGTAAACGCTGTGAGCATTCCCCTGCAAGTCTTTCCTTTTTTTTCTTCAGAAAGAAAAAAACAACCACACGTTTTTTGCATTGACTTACAAAATGTATATACTTATATACACTTATATATATAAATGTATACAAGAAAACTTAGGAAAAATTTGGAACTTACAGAAAAACACAAAAAAGAAAAGACAAAGCACTCAAGCCCCCACAATTAACATTAATATGTTATCTTCCAGTCATTTAAAAATCACATGTTGTAAATAGTAGGACAAAGACTAGGTACTAAACTGTGAGGCCATGTCCATCAATAAACCTTCTGAGCCCTAACCGGTTTGGCTCAGTGGATAGAGCGTCGGCCTGCGGACTCAAGGGTCCCGGGTTCAATTCCGGTCAAGGGCGTGTACCTTAGTTGTGGGCACACCCACAGTTCGGAGTTTGCAGGAGGCAGCTGATCGATGTTTCTCTCCCTATCCCTCTCCCTTCCTCTCTGTAAAAAATCAATAAAATATATATATTTTTAAAATTAAAATAAATAAACCTTGCTGAATCCCTGGCAGAGCTGGGGAGGTGTCCCTTGGGGGGCCCTGAGGGATGTGGCGGTTCCTAGCTGGATGATGTCCCCTAACGCCTGTGCCCCGCCTCAGGGTTCCAGGCCCGGGCCGAGCTCCTGGAGGTGTTCAGCACGGAGTTCCAGATGCGCCTCCTCTGGGGCAGCCAGGGCGCCAGCAGCAGCCAGGCCCGGCGCTACGAGAAGTTTGACAAGGTCCTCACCGCCCTGTCCCACAAACTGGAGCCTGCCGTCCGCTCCAGCGAGCTGTGACCGCCGTGGACCTTCCCCTCGGCAGCTGCGGGCAGCATGCGGGACAGAGGGGCACAGACCTTCCTCCAGAGCACCCCAGGGACACTGTGACCAGCCCGGGAATGTACCCGACTCCGCACCGCGATCTCCCTTCCGCTCCAGGGTTCTGCGTGGATTCTGGGCTCTGTCCCGCGCCTGCCACATGCTCGCCACAGCTCCCTTCAGGAAGAACCAGGACCCCGTTCCTCCCTCCAGCTTCTGCCTCTCCCCTCCTGCCGAGGGGCCCCGTGTTTGAGCCATGGGGGGCTCCTCACGCCTCCTCCCTCTCCTCCAGGCATCTGCTCCCCACCGACACCAAGGCCTCCATCTGCTGTAAATACGTCCCCGTTCTGTAAATAGATGTACAGAAGCCATGCTCTTTCTTTCATATAATAAACTTTTATGTCTCTTTTTTTCTGTCTCTCCGGAGGCCCTGAGGTGGAAGGGAGCAGCTTTTCTCAGGTGAAAGGGGAAAAAGCCATTTCACAAATATTTAGCACCTGGGACATTCCAGATTGTACCAGGAGCCAGAGTTACCGCTAACGCTGGACCCCAGTCCCTGCGGGAGGAGGGCCCAGCCAGTGGGGGAGATAAACAGCCAATTTCAACCAGGGGGAGGAATACTGACCTGGCCCCCTCCTCCTCCACTCCCTGCCCCCGGGGAGCCATAGCAAAGGTTCCCACCAATGCACATGAAGGATCCCGGATGTTTGGGAGGGGAGGGCTTTTTTGAAATCTAGGAGTCGACCTCTCTGGGAAACTGAGACTGTGACCTGGGCCCCAGCGGCAGGATGAGGAGGTTGGCACTTGGGTGTCCTGACCGGAGTTCTCTCTCCTCCATGGCTTTGAAACGTGGCCTCAGAAGCGTGTGCGTGTGCAGAGTGGGGTGGATAATCTCTGAAGAGGGACTTGGACACGGTCATCTTGATTCCACAGGTGGAGTTGTAGACCCTGTGGGCCAGGCAGAGCCCTGGCAGGATGGAAGTCTGGGGAGCCCAACCACTGGGTGTGAAACATCTGGGGTCCTTCCCGTTCTGAATCCTGACTGAGGGGCTGGGTAACTCAGTGCATTAGATCTTTGGCGGCAGCCAGACGCGGGTTCAGTTCTATTGTTTACTAGCTGAGTAACCATGGATATCAGGCTTAACCTCTCGGGTTCCCATTTCTACCTCAAAAAAAATTTTAAAAAAATGGGGACAATAACAGAATTAATCTCTTAGGATTGCTATGGAAGCATTTAGTGCATAGTAGTTGCTAGGTAAGGAACCACTACGTTTTATACATGATGGATTATCAGTGATCATTTATTGATTAAGCCAAAACACTTTGTGGGCCTGTACCTCATTGAAATATCACCATTTTTCTGTATGATGGGTAACGTTATCACAGAGGATATGTATGGTAATTAATACTGACTCACAGAGGGTGCTCACCAAAAGCTATTCGTATTCTTAGACACGGAAGGCCCAGCTCGTAGTGGTTCCGTGGTTGAGCATTGACCTATGAACCAAGAGGTCACAGTGTGATTCCCAGGTTGTGGGCTCCATCCCCAGTATGGGGCTTGCAGGAGGCAGCTGATCAGTAATTCTCATCATTGATGTTTTTATCTCTCCTCTCCTTTCTGCAATCAATAAAAACATATTTTTAAAGCATAGAAAAGGCGCTTTACAAGGTGTAAGGTGCTGCACACACAGTTTTCTCTACAGTTGTTACATTACCCTTGTGGTTATAATTCCTTATCATTTTGTTGGAACTTCTACTATGATCCCCTAGTTACCATGGTTATGGAAACGCGGCCCTCCATTCCGAGTTGAACAGTTCGCGGGCTCCCTCTGGAGGTCGCCTTCCGGTCCTGCAGCGGGAAGACTGGGCGGGCCTTTGAGAGGGGCGAGCGGAACGCCGGGAGTTGTAGGCCACGGGAGGTGGCTGCGCAGAGCGGTGCACGCCGGGAGCTGTAGTTCCGGGAGAAGCGGTTGGCCGCCCCAGACCTGGCTCGGGCCTCACCCGGATGGCGGCTGGTTCGCGCGGCCGCCAGCCGTGGGGCTCGCGCCTCCTCGGGCTGCTCGGGCTGGTTTCGGTCTCGGTCGCGGCCGCCGCCTGGGACTTGGCTTCATTGCGCTGCAGCTTCGGCACCTTCTGCGAATGTGACTTCCAGCCCGACTTCCAGGGTGAGGAGCGGAAGAGGGCAGGGGCGGGCCGACCGGCGGCCCCACGGACCCCGGGACGGGACTGGGAGGGCGGGACCGAGGGGCGGAAGGACCCTAGACTCCGCCGGCCCGGACCGGAAGTGGGTCCTGTGCGAAGGGACCTGGGGCCAAGGTTTGGGGATGCTTGTTTGGGCCCCGGCAGAGCCCTGCAGGATGGAGAGGGGCCTTTGACAGCGGGGCCGCGGGGCAGGGTGAGGCCTCCCCGGGGGAATGGCCGTCCAGGGAGGGTCTCACCTTGGGAATAGGCAGAGGGCTCCCGGGCAGACCCTGTAGACCGCTGGCACCCTTAGGGCTGAGTACAGTTCAGAGGGAAGCCTGGAGGGGGCGCTGCCAAGCTGAATTAGGCCTGAGGGTGACTCCTGCAGCGGGAGCTCCCTGTTGAAAGCGGCCCAGGCCTTAGGGATCCCTAGACCGGGTTCCAGACATCACTTCCCCCTTGAACCTCTTCCGGCGGGAGCGTGTCCTCAACTCTGACCCTGTCCCTCTTGTGGCCCTAGGTCTGGAGTGTGACCTGGCCCAGCACCTGGCGGGCCAGCACTTGGCCAAGGCGCTGGTGGTGAAGGCGCTGAAGGCCTTCGTGCAGGACCCGGCCCCCACCAAGCCGCTGGTCCTCTCCCTGCACGGCTGGACAGGCACCGGCAAGTCCTATGTCAGCGCCCTGCTGGCCCACTACCTCTTCCGGGGTGGCCTCCGCAGCCCCTACGTGCACCACTTTTCCCCCGTCCTCCACTTCCCCCACCCCAGCCACATGGAGCGCTACAAGGTAGGCTGGGAGCATCCTGGGCCATCATCCCCTGCATCAGGGATGGGAGGGAGTCCTAGGCCCCCGAGAGGGAGATTCACTTGCTGTAGGCCACACAGTCAGAGGGAGCCAGCCCTCAGGACCCAACCCGAACAGGGCTCAGGAAGATGCCATTCTACCTGGCAGGGGGTTCTCGCTGTAGTTCTTTATTTTGGGGGGCGGGAGGGGGGGGAAGAGAAGGCATTAATGGTATCTACCTGCCAGGGTGGTTCTGAAGAACATGAGATTATAGAATTACAGGAATTAATTATTGAGCACTTACCTTTGCCAGTCTGCATTATCTTCCCTCTGTAAAGCACTTAGCCCCAATTTGAGGCTCAGAATAAGTACTTAGTAACTACAAGCTCTTATTGCTGCTGCTATTACTATTATTTTTACTACTATCATTATTGATTGCAAGGCACTTTCCAGGCTGAGCTAACTGTCACACGCCGAGAGCCCTGGCTGTGTGGCTGAGTTGGTTGAGCTCCTCCCTTGCACCAAAAAGCCACTGGTTAGATTCCCCGACGTGGCACCTGCCTTATGCGGGTTTGATCCTCAGTAGGGGTCGTGCAGAAGGTGGCCGATCGATGTTTCTCTTTTCCTCTCCCTTCCTTTCTCTCTCAAATTAATTTAAAAAAAACAACAAACCATTGCGCTAGCCTGTTTATCTCAGTGGATAGAGCATCCGTCTGCAAACTGAAAGGTCCCAGGTTTGATTCCAGTCAAGGGCACGTGGCGGGGTTGTGGGCTCAATCCCCAGTGGGGGGACTTGCAGGAGGCAGCCGACCCATGATTCTCTCTCATCATGGAAGTTTCTCTCTCTTTCTCTCCCTTCCTGTCTGAAATCAATAAAAATATATTTTTAAAAATGGAACGGAAAAACGCCCCCACAGAACTGCTGAGAACGTTCGCGGGGCAGAAGGAGCCCCCTTTTATAGAAAGCAGTAGCGGTCAGGGAAGGCACCCCGAAGGCAGGCGCAGGGCTGGGATTGAGTCCCTGTTCTCCTGCTCACCTGCTGTTTGAACTGGGACAAGTCTCTGCCCTCTCAGGGCCACAGTTTGCCATCAGTCCCATTTGGGATTGTCCACATTCTCCAGAGAAGGGGAAGCTTGGGAGGAAGTCTGGGGCTGGGTTTCCCCGGTCCCCTCAAGCTCCTGCCTCTCTCCTGCAGAAGGATCTTAAGAGCTGGGTGCAGGGGAACCTCACTGTTTGTGGCCGCTCCCTCTTCCTTTTTGATGAGATGGACAAGCTGACCCCAGGCCTGATGGAGGTCCTACAGCCTTTCCTGGGCTCCTCCTGGGTGGTGTATGGGACCAACTATCGAAAAGCCATCTTCATCTTCATCAGGTGGGTGCGCTGTGAGGGGACTTAGAGGTCCCACAGCAGAATACCGTCCTCGGGATCCAAGCCCCGCACCCTTGTGACGGTGCCATCCAAGGCGGCTGCCTTCCCCTTTGACAGTCTCGAAGCTTTTGGTCCTCATTTCTTTGTGGAAGCCCTGCTGCTGGCTCCAGAGTCTCCCCTCTTCTGTGGCCAGGACGACGCGGGCCCGGGAGAAACAGACTGGGTCACCTCCGAGAGTCCTTGCTGGGTTTCCCCAGGCAGATTACTTCACCTCTCTGAGCTCCCCTCTCCTCCCTGCACAGCAGGGCCAAATGCACGCCCCGCTGTTCTAGAAGCTGGGTGAGGGGAAGTCAGTTAAGGGTCTTAAAAGTGTTTGGTAAACTGTAAAGTGCGCGGCACTTGGAGGTGAATTTTAGGGGTCATGGCTGTGGACACGCTCTGGAAAGGGGAAGTGGTTCCTTTGGGATGTTTTGGTGGGTTTGGCTCCTGCTGGCACCGAGGTCGTGGTAGGTGGCACTTGGGAAGCAGGGCCCCCTCCACGGTCTGAGTCTCGGCCCGGGTCCCCATGGTTTCAGCAACACCGGCGGCGAGCAGATCAACCAGGTGGTGCTGGAGGCGTGGCGCAGCCGCCGGGACCGCGAGGAGGTCGGCCTGCAGGAGCTGGAGCCGGTCATCTCGCAGGCGGTGCTGGACAACCCCCACCGTGAGTGCGGCTCCGAAGCCCCACCCCGGGGTGGCTTCAGCGGGTGGGGCTTCGCACCCAGATCCATCGGGCTGGGATCTGATGCTCTGCCCACTGACCCGGTACTGCTCAGCCCCGGCTCTGCGCTCCTGGCTGCCCAGAACCTCCCCGAGCCCTTTGCCCGGAGGTGGCTGAGAACAGTGTACTGCCCTGGCCTTTGGGGGTAGAAACCCAGCTCCGTGCGGCTCAGCTTCTTTTCCCCATCGTCCCCCCCGGCAGACGGCTTCTGGCGCTCGGGCATCATGGAGGAGCACCTCCTGGACGTCCTGGTGCCCTTCCTGCCGCTCCAGCGGCACCACGTGCGGCACTGCGTGCTCAACGAGCTGGCCCAGCTGGGCCTGGAGCCCAGGGACGAGGTCATCCAGGCCGTGCTGGACAGCACCACCTTCTTCCCTGACGACGAGCAGCTCTTCTCCTCCAATGGCTGCAAGACTGTGGCTTCCCGGATCGCCTTCTTCCTCTGATTCCCGGGCGGCATCCTTGCCCTCCCGCCTGGCCAGGCCACGCAGGAAAGCCCTGGCGCCTTTGCCAGAGGGACCCTGGTCCTGCCCTCCTGGAGAGTGGGACCCAGAGCACACACGGAAGACGACAAGTGTTGGCTGGGCCATGGGACAGGGCGTCAGGTGGGCCCTGGCCTCTTCGCTAGCCTTTGCCTCCTGCCCCGGGGGAAAGTGCTGGTCACCCCCGAACTCAGTGAGTGTTGACCTCCGCCTGCAGCCTGAGCCTTCTTAAATGTGAACTGGAACTCAGGGACCGGGGCTCCTGGCTGTTGCCTCTGCATCCTTTCCCCTCAGCCCCTTGGCCGCCACCACATCCCACACCCTGTCCCAGTATTGTGAGCCAGGCTGAGACTTCTCAGTCCCCAAGGAGAAAGGGACTCAAGCTGCCACTTGGGCCTGGTTTTTAATGTTTTTAATTTTGTAAAAGAAGAGAACAAACACAATAAACTTAGCCATGAGGTCAGAGTGATGTCAGCAGTCCCATTGCGGAAGCCAGTGCGGCAGGGCATCTCCCATCTCCAGTGAGAAGTGAGGGGCTCAGCGGCCCCTTCAGGGAGAAGTGACATTGTCAGGGCTGGGGCGCTGGCTAATCTGGATTTCGCTGGGGGTCTGGCTCAGGTCCCGGATGACATCAGTCTTGCTAGATTCTGGGCTTTGGTTCAACTTCTGGAGAACCTTGGCCATGACGAACCACTGGTCCTGGCCCTGGGTGACCTCCGTTTTGCTGGGGCTCGGGCTTGGGTCATCGTCAGTCATGATCTTGCTGGAACTTCGGAGCAGTCCACTGATCCAGCCCTTAGCCTTGATGGTGCCCCGCCTGTGAACAGCCTTGGTCTTTCTGAGCCTTGGCTTTGGGCCCTGGGTGGCCTCGGTCTTGTTGGGTTTTTGCCTTGGGCCCTGGGTGGCCTTGGCCTTGGTGGGCTCTTGCCTTGGGCCCTGGGTGGCCTCAGTCTTGCTGGGTTTTTGCCTTGGGCCCTGGGTGGCCTTGGCCTTGGTGGGCTCTTGCCTTGGGCCCTGGGTGGCCTCGGTCTCGGTGGGCTTCTGGCCCTGGCTCTGGCTCTGCATGGCCCCCGTCTTGCTGACCAGCTGGGTCTGGGCCCAGAAAACCTCCTTTATGGAGCTGCCGCTCGGGCTTACGTCTTCCTTGTCGTTTTCCAACTCTGAGGACGGCGTCTTCAGCAGGGAGGAGTCGGAGGTGAGCACAGCAGTGGTCGAGCTGCTCCTGTATTCCTGGCTGGTGGCGGACGCCTCCGTCTCGGAGATAGACCGAGCCCTGACTGGGAAGGGTATGCAAGAGCAGCCATCGGGCACCTTCCCCAGGCAGTTCCAGGAAAAGGAGGCTTCTAGGCCTCCCCCTGGCCTGTGTCCCAGAGGCCTTCGTGGCCAAGGGCAAGGCCTGCCTGCCCAGCCCTCCTCAGCAGCCTGCGCTTTGAAGGGGGGCCGGGGCGGTGGGAGGGGGGAGATACTGAGGCTCCTACTGGCCTATCCCCGGCCTCCATTGTGCTGGCTGCTTGTCCTCTGCGCTCCAGCCACAACCAACAGCCTGTAGTTCACCCTGCCCCCCTCCCCCCCCATACCTGACTAACCCCTCCGCCTCCTTCGGGTCCTGGAAGTCCCCACTGGTCCCCCAAAGGTGCTGAGCGCTCCCACAGCCCTCAGTGCACAGCTGCACTGTCCTGGTAACCGTCTATCTGCCGCCGCCTTCCCTTCAGGGCCAAGCGCTCCTGGGGCGGGGAATGGCCTCTACACGCCTGTGACGTGTGTGGCAGAGCCCAGCCCTGGGACTCGGTGGCTACTGAACTGCCCTGCATGGAAGGACAGGGCTGGCCACCGCTATCTCTGTCCCGGCCCTGGACTGCTCACACCTGCCCTCGGGACTCTGTAAGGAGCGGCATTCCTGGTGTGTGACTTGTCCCTTCCATGCTGGCGCTCGGCAGAACTGGGGGTAAAAGTCCCTTGGACGTGCACATGTGAGCTTATTTTAGGGAGGGGCAAGAGGGCAGAGAGAGAAAGGACCCGAGAGGGCGGAGGCCGGAGCAGGCAGCCGCTGCAGTGCCCGGAGTGAAGGCTGCTCCAGGCCCGTGCGGGCATCGCCTCCCCGAGGGCTCAGCACGCCCCCTGCAAAGCTGGGGTGATACTCCTGCGTTAGCCGCACAGCTGCACGCAGCTGAGCCCACATTCTCCCAGGCCAGGGAGTCTCTGACCCCGGACTCTGTCACTCTGCTGCTCCGGCTGGCTCAGGCCTGGAAGGGGCCCCGGGGACTTACAGCCCAACACGGAGCTTGACGAGGTGCGGTCCAGGTAGCCGGCGGACGAGGACTGCTCCGGCTGCTCCTAGGGCGAGAGGCGGGCGAGGCGGTGAGGCTGCGGGCGCCCCGGCCAGCGGCTGGGCTCCGTCCGGAAGCCCGCAGGCGTCGGGACCTCCAGTGACTGCTCCCTTGAGCTTGGAGCTGCTCAGGGTCCCAGGTTCGGGCTGGGTGGGACACGCAGAGGCCAAGGTTGGACAGGGGCGGGAGAGGCATGCTGCTGTGAGCAAGGCAGTGTTCAAGAGGCTGCCTGGGCCCTGGCTGGTTTTGCTCAGTGGTTAGAGTGTTGGTCTGTGGACTGAAGGGTCTTGGGTTCAGTTCCAATCAAGGGCATGTACCTAGGCAGCAGGCTTCATCCCAGGTCCTCGTCGGGGAACATGCGGGAGGCAACCAATTGATGTGTTTCTCCCACATTGATGATTCTCTCCCTGTGTGTCTCCCCCTCCCTCCCACTCTCTAAAAACCAATGCAAAAAATATCCTCCGGTGAGGACTAACAACAACAGAGGTTGCACGGGCCTCAGTTTCCCCATCTGCAACATGGAAAGTAGTTCCCGTATGGCACAGGCTTCTGTAACCTGTAAAGTGCTGTGCCCTGGACGATGGTCAGTGAGAACTGAGGAGCTTGGCCCGTTGTGCATGCCGCATCCCATTCCTCCTCCCCACGCGCCTGGGAGGAAATGGCCGCTAATGCCATCTCATTGGCCAGGAAACCGAGGCTCTGAGCGCCGAAGAAGCCTGCCCAGGGCGTCGCGGGGAGACGCTGCGGCCAGGGGGGCTGGGCAGGGGCACGGGGCACCGGCAGCACTAAGGTCCAGGCGCCAGCTAACGGCTCTGAGGCAGGGAGCCCCGGTGACGCCAGGGGCCCAGGCACCGAGGCTTTGTATTTTGTGTTCTAATGGGCCCGGAAGAAGGCGAGCTGGCCTTTTCCGTTCATGGCAAGGGATTCGGAGCCCATTTACTTCCCCTGCGGAGCTTCCCGGGACACTGCGTGCTGTCCGACAGCAGGCGGGTAGGTACATTGTGGGGTGGATGGGATTCGCCACGGCAACAGGAGTGAGCAGTGAGCTTGGTGCATCTCACGGATTCGGTTTAGTGAAGGGAGCAGAGACCCGAGGGCGATCGGGACAGCCTTGTGGGTGGGCTGGGCTGAGGAAGGGCTTGAAGGGGCTCCTGTGGGCTTCTGGGAGCTGGGAGTGTTCTCTCCTGGTCTGGGCAATGATGCCATGGGTGCATTCAGTTTGTGAAAATTCACCGAACAGTTCCTTTATGATCTGTACACTTTCCTATATTACACTCAATACAAGTTCTTAATATATATACGTGTGTGTGTGTGTGTGTGTGTGTGTGTTAATGATTTCAGAGAGGAAGGGAATGGGAGAGAGAGAGGAACATCAATGATGAGAAAGAATCATTGAGTGGTTGCCTCCTGCATGCCCCACCCAGGATCGAGCCTGCAATTCTCTGACCAGGAATCCATCTGTGACTTCCTGGTTCAACACTCAACCACCGAGCCACACCAGCCAGGCTCAATACAAGTTTTTAGAACGGAATTGAAGAATTAAGAAAACCCTGGCATGAGTGGCCAGTGCACACGTCAGCATGCATGAAGGTGAGTGTGGGCAAGGCTTGAAGAGTCCTCTCCGTGAGGGGCCATGTCCTGTGCACGCCCCCAGGGGGACCCCCTACTGGTACCATCCCTGTGGCACAGCAGCAAGTCCCAGCCGTGCGGTGGCAGAGCCAGGCCTGCGGCGCACCTCCCAGGCTCCGAGGGCTCCGGGTCCCGCTGTGGCCACTCACCACCTCCTCGGCAACCTCGGGCTCTTTCGGGGGCGTGGGCTCTTCCTGCACGGTCTGGGGCGCGGGCTCCAGCTTCTCAGAGGTCTTCCACAAAACCTGTTCCTTGTTCCACGAAAGCTGCAGGGCCCGGGCCTTCTGGCGATCTAGTTCCAGCTTCTGGAGCTGCCTGCCCAGCCATGGCCCCCGAGCATGGGTAAGTCACCCTGCCCCCGACCCCACCACCACGCCCGGGACTGGACAGCGGCATGAGGAGGCAGCCGGGGCCAGAGGAGCCTTGAGCCCAACCATTCCCGCTCCCGGCCTGGGGCTCCTGCTGGAGGAGCTTACCCCATGATGCCTTGCGGGATGGTCTTCTGCAGCCTGCTCTCTATCACCCGGCTCAGCTGCATCTTGGCCAGGAGGCCCATCTTGCTGCCGAGCACCTCCTCCTCTGACATGCCGGGGAAGAGGTTGGTTATCAGCGAGAGCAGCTGCGGGAAAGGGGGTGAGCAGAGCGAGGTGAGGGCCAGGGCAGGGGCCGGTGGTCTGACGCTGCCCTGCCCTGGCACAGTCCCTTTGCAGGGCTGAAGAGGGAAGCATTTACAGATTGTTGTTTTTAAAGGGCTGTTCTGTCCCAGAACTGGGAGGCGGCCATGAAAAGGGGACTATTCAGAGAGGAATCACTGATGGGTGCGTCTAGCCGTGGGCTCTGGAGCCAGACAGATCAGGGTCTGACCTGTAAGCTGTGTGACCTGAGACACGGCACCTGGCTTCTCTGAGCCTTACCTTCTTGGTCTATAAATTGGCGGGGATAACGTTACCTGTCTCCCAGGGGCTGGAGACGGTTAGAGTGATGCCCGCTGAAGCAGTTAGAACAGTGCCTGGCGCACAGTAAGAGCTCTGGGATTCGCAGCTTGTACTAGTTGCTAGGAAACCACATTTCTTTTGAGGGCAGGGAGTATCTTAGGAGGCCAGGAGTACTGACTCTGCAGACACCCTCCTGGCCACCAGGAGGAACCCACCTTCGGTTGCTTAGGGTCAAGGATCAGGGCAGTTGCAACGTCCTGGCGGGCCCCGAAAATGTTCTGGATGAGCTGTCGGCTCCTGGCACGGTGCACGTAGTACTGAGCCATCTGGGGATTGTGCTCGATGGCCATCGTGAAGTGGCTCTCCGCCTTCTGGAATTGTCTATAAGACAGCAGCCACAGGCTGCAGTGAGCGAAGCCACCAGGGGGGAAATAGCCGCTTCCGGGCCCACGGAGGAGTGTGGGGAAACCCAGGGTGGTCTCTGCTCCCCGCTACCATGCCCCACGCTCTCCTTCTACCAGCTACACTCTTGCCGGACCCAACACTCAAATGCTAGTATAAAACCCCACCGGAAGTGGGCACTCTTGTATCTTAGATTAGGGAAGGTCTTTCTGAGCAGGCCATACGCCCAGCAGCTAAAAGTAAAAAAGTTAATTTGACTGTGATTAAGTCCTAAGTTACTGAGTAGCAAAAACACCACTGGCTGAGTAGCTTGGTTGGTTAGAGCATCGTCTCGCTGTGCCAAGATTGCCGGTTCAATCCCTGGTCAGGGCACATACAAGAATCAACCAATGCGTGCATAAATAAGTAGGACAACCAATCAATGTTATTATGTCTCTCAAATCAATAAATTAAGCGTGTGTGTGGACGCACACACACATACACACCATCACCACCACAAAGGAAAGCAATAAATAGGATATATATTTTGCTATATAAGGCAGATGATAAGCTAATTTTCCCAACCTCCAAAAAAAAACTTTTTAAATTTTTTTTAAATTTAATTTATTGGCACAAAGAACACTTTAACAAAAAAAAATTTTAAAAGAGCAATTTATGGCCGAAATTTAGGGTTTGGCTCAATGGATAGAGTGTTGGCGTGGGGACTGAATGGTCCCGGGTTTGATTCCGGTCAAGGGCATGTACTTTGGTTGCAGGCACATCACCAATAGGGGGTGTGCAAGAGGCAGCTGATCGATGACTCTCTCATCGATGTTTCTAACTTCTATCTCTCTCCCTTCCTCTCTGTACAAAATCAATAAAATATATTTAAAAAATAAAATAAAATAAATAAAAGAGCAATTTAGGGCCGAAACCGGTTTGGCTCAATGGATAGAGTATCGGCTTGGGGACTGAAGGGTCCCGGGTTTGATTCCAGTCAAGGGCATGTGCCTTGGATGCGGGCATGTCCCCGGTGGGGAGTGTGCAAGAGCAGCTGATCGATGACTCTCTCTCATTAGTGTTTCTGGCTCTCTGTCTCTCTCCCTTCCTCTCTGTACAAAATCAATAAAATATATTTTAAAAAAATAATAAATAAAATAAAAGCGATTTAGGGCCGTAACGACCAATAAACACATAGAAGATGCTGTGCTGCACTGGCGACTTAAACATGCAAGATCAAGTGTGAAAGAGCATTTTCTATTTCATTTTGCCTCTTAGGTTAGCAGAGTTGAAAAATGGTCTTACTACCTCACACTAGGGAGGTCTGGGAAAACAAGACTCTTTTCCTGGGAGAAAAGTTTATATTAGTTCACTGTTTTTGGAGAACATTTGGACATTATTTAAATGTTAAATGTTCACACTCTTTTATCGAACAATTTGACTTCCAGCAGTCTAGCTATAGTGTCCCTGGTGTGAGTGCATGAAAACATATGTGTGGTGCTCATAGCTGCATTATCTCTGGTAAAAAACGAAAGCAGCCCAAATGCTCATCAGTAGGAATAAAAGGCAATCAGTCCTCTGTGGCTCCTCCACTGGATGGGACGCCAGGCAAGCAGTAACAAGAGCATGAGGCAGTCCCATATTAACGCCATGGGAAGTAAAAAAGCACAATTCAGCACGAAAACACTTTTGCAAAATGATAATAACGGCTAATACACGCGTAGGAAACAATCTGGAGGAATCTCTGCCAAACTCATGGGGTGGGAGGCATTGGGAGGCAGATAGATATAAGGAACTTCCATGTTCTGAGTTTAAATCATTGAACCCTTAAGTTTTCTATAAAAAGCACAATTACCATAATATTCAGAAAACAGTGATTTTTTAAAAAATTTTTTGCAAAAACGTGGAAATGAAAACCTATATTTAGGCCAAAACCGGTTTGGCTCAGTGGATAGAGCTTCAGTCTGCAGACTGAAGGGTCCCAGGTTCGATTCCGGTCCAGGGCATGTACCTTGGATGTGGGCCTATCCCAGTCAGGAGGTGCAGGAGGCGGCTGTTCGATGTTTCTCTCTCATCAATGTTTCTCTCATCGATGTTTCTAGCTCTCTATCCCTCTCCCTTCCTCAATGTTCTTGACCCAAGGATCCCAGCAGGCGGCTTCACGCTCCGCCCCCCCCCCAGCACGCCCCCGGCCCCTCCCCCCCCACCCCCCCACCCCCCCCACCCCCCCACACCCCCCCCCCCGCCGCCAGGCGCACTTGCTCTTGTGCTGGCAGAACCCCATCTTCTCCTGCAGCAGCCCCATGCGCCGGTTGGCGCCCTCGTCCCACGGGCTCAGCGCCAGCGCCTCCTGGTAGTCCGCCGCGGCGAAGTCCAGGTAGCCCAGCTGGAAGAAGCAATCTGGGGCCGAACCCCAGTGCCCAGGAGCCTCGCTCAGCCTTCTCTGCCCCAGAGGGCGGGCCCGGAACTGGCGGCTGGCACACCTCCCCGCCGCCTGATTTCGGAGCAGCCCGGAGACAGGCGTTTCCCCAAGGGTGTCCCGGGGGACACTGAGGCTCTGAAATGTTTCCTCTTCCCCTTCTCCCTCCTTCGTCCCTCCCTCCCCCGTCTCTCTTCCTCCCCCCATCCCCTGGGGGCCTCAGGCGCCTCACCGCCGCGGTTGATGTAGAAGCTTTTCTCCTGCTGCTCGTCCTTGAGGACCTTGTTGAGCAGCAGCACGCCCTCCTGGTAGGCGCCCTGCGTGTAGCAGTGCACTGCGAAGTCGTTGTAGGCCAGCAGGAGCTGGCGCTGCGTCTGCCGCACCATGTCCTCCTCGTGCTCCGACATCATGTCCAGGGCCTTCAGGAAGTCCTCCACCGCCGCATTGAACTCCTGGAGCCGGCGGAACATGGTGCCCCTGCGGGGACGGGCAGGCGGGCCGGAGCTGGGCGCTGCTGCTCTGGACCTTTGGACCCGTGGGGGGGTGGGGGGGTCCCCCCAACCCTCAGGAGGTTTGGCCTATGGGGCCCGGGTTGCTACTCAGATAACCTGCTAGCTAGTCTCTAGCCATTTTCCCCCTCAAAAACAGCTCCCTCTCTCTTTTGGGGAACCAGGGCCCCGCCAGCCTCCACACTAAGGCCTTTGTGTGTACGGACGGGTGATTCACCCCCGCAGCTCCTGGGGGAAGCCCGGGGCTGAGTCCTGAGACCTGAGTCCTTCCTGGGGTCAGATTCACGCCCAGGCCTTGTCCGCTGGCCCAGCGCGACCTGCTGAGCAGGCCTGGTGCTCCAGGGTCCCTGCTTAACCTCCCATGGTGCCCTGACCCCAGGGGGGAGCAGGGAAAGGTGAGCGTTAGCTAGAGGGGGGACCTGAGGCCTACACGGATTCCAGAGCTCTCCTGGGCCGCACGGCTGGACCTGCTCCTGGCGCCTCCCCACCCAGCACCTGAAGACGAAGAAGCTGGGGTCCAGAGGGTTGTTGTTGATGGCGCGGTTCACGCACTGCACTGCGTGCTGCAGCTTGCCCTGCACGGCCAGGATCCTGGCATCCTGATAGGACCTCTGGGCCTGGTCTACCATCATCTTGAGCAGCACCCTCGCCTGTGGGTGCTTGGGATCCAATACCAGGGCGGTGTGCAGGTCTTGGTAGCAGAGGTGGGGCTGCAGGGGCCAAGGGTCACATCAGGGGCACAGCCAAGCTGAGCCTTACTTAACCTGTCCAGTGTGGGGAGGCAGACCTCCTGGCTCCGAGGGGCCTTTCTCAGGTCGGCTGGCACCATGCCACCCACACTCAGTGCCCCGCTTTGCTGTCCCACCTGTTCTGCCTCCTTGAAGGAGGCGGGGAACATTGTGGGGAAATCTCATCCCTACTGGCCCCTCCAGACGTGACCTCAGGTGAGCGAGGGTCACGCTGGGTGGTATCTGCCATGGAATGGGGTTTGGAGGACCGCCTCCCCGGAGGACTTCTGTGAAACTCACTGGAGGCGGGAGGAGGGTGTGGCCTCCTGTTTGTGACTGTTGTGCATTCCTGTCCTTTCCTCCCTGACTCCCTGGACCTTTAAGCCCAACATAACTCTGGCCAAGAACAGATTCAGGCCTGGACATGAGCAGAAAACATTCCCGGGCAAATACCTTCTACTGGGTGAGCATGTCTGTCAGCCAGTTAACCAAGTTTTGGCAAGCACCCCATGTCCTATAGGCAGCTGGTGGAAGGGTGAGCCAACAGTGGACACCAGGAAGTTGAGAGGGGAAAGATGGGAAAGGCTAGGGGCAGGACTTCAAAGTAGGTCGACTTGGGTTCAAGGGCATAGCTACTGAGAACTGGCTATGTGACCTTGAGCAAGTCACCCAGCCCCTCTGGACCTGTAGCTTCACCTGTAAAAAGAGGACAAGGGGTTGTATCTACTGAATCAGTTATTGTGAGCCTTTAAGATAAACATGAGTAGCCAAAACCCGTTTGGCTCAATGGATAGAGTGTCGGCCTGTTGACTGAAGGGTCCCCGGTTCGATTCCACTCAAGGGCATGTTACTTGTTTGTGGGCATATCCCCAGTAGGGGGTGTGCAAGAGGCAGCCGATCGATGATTCTCTCTCATCCATGTTTCTAACTCTCTATCCCTCTCACTCCCTCTCTGTAAAAAATCAATTAAAAAAATATATATATATATAAAAGATAAACATGAGTGGGTCCTGGCAGGTAGATCAGTTGGTTAGAACGTAGTCCTGATCCGCCAAACTTGTGGGTTTGATCTCCATTTAGAGCACAAACAAGAAACAACCAATGAATGCATAAATAAATGGAACAATAAATATATATCTCTCTCAAATCAATTTTGAAAAAGATAAGAATGAATAAAGTGCTTACAACGAGCATTGCAAGGGCTGAAGAGGTGGGAGTGGCTAAAATCCCAACAGTCAACAATCATGGGTAATTGCTAGCCTCCTACCTTTGAAGGAGTCTCTCCCACTGACTCACTGTTGATCACAGAAGCCCAGCCCTCAGTCTAGGGAGACTCACATTGCCCTCCACCCCCAGAATGCCCCACCCACCCCTGTTCATTCCCCTCCTGAGTGTCCCAGCTCCCAGGCACCAGGCCAAGCCAGAACACCGGCCATTGTTCTGGATCCTTCCTTCCCTCTTGCACTCCCCAGGCTCTGGTCCTGACTTCCAAAAATAGTGGAACTGCTACCTACTTGCCTACCCTTTCCTTGGCCCCCTTCTCTTCTGCTGGATGGCACCAAGCCTCTCCCAGGCTCCTGGTCTCCATGCCCCCTGTGCCCATGCGCCCTCTGTCAGCCAGAAGGATCTTTCCAGAGCCCACTGCCTCAGGGAACACCCTTTGGAGGCTCCCATTGTCCGCAGGAAGAAGTCAAGGTCATCCTGAATCCACAAGGCCCTGCCTGGTACCCTCACATACCTACATTCCCCTCCTCCCTATGACTCTGTCTCCCTTGCCCCTAAGTTGTCCCCTGTACTGTCTGTCTGTCCCCATGCCCAGCCCATGGAGTGCAGCAGCTGGGGTGCTTAGAAAATGTTTACTGAGGCGAATAAGGGAAGGAAGGAAGGAAGGAAGGAAGGAAGGAAGGAAGGAAGGAAGGAAGGAAGGAAGGAAGGAAGGAAGGCGGGCCTCTTTATCTAGTGGATTGCTCATGGTTTCATGGACTCATGAAGTCATTCTTCACCGAAGTATCTGCTTAGGGAAGTCTCTCTGGGCTGTGAGTTCTGGATGGTGGAGATGGCATAAGTCTCTTACTGTGTGGTTTCCGGGGGCCGATGCAGGCCTGGCACAGAGCCAGGGCTTAGTGACAATGGAACAATACTTGACTGGGCATCTGCCCTGAGGGGAGGTGGCTGCTGGTGCTGGCCAGGCAGCCTCCTATACCCTTGGGATGTGCTGGGGGAAGGGTCCCCCCTCTCCCCGCTTCCCGTTCTACCTTCCCGAAGAAGTTGTAGAGCCTGGCTCGGAAGATGTAGATGTCAGCATTGGTTGTGCCATGCTTCACCTCCTTGTTGACAAGTGAGAGGCAGTCCTGATATCGCCTGAGGGCCAGGAGACACGCCATGCTGCGGACAAAGGGCAGAGGTGCTGTCCACCAGAGTGGCGATGTGCAACCCTTTCCAGCTCATAGTGCACACACGCTAATGACGCAAATCCTGCAGCACACCAAACAATACATTTTGATTTGTTCTCACTGGAAGGCTATTCTTTCACTCTTTTTTTTTTTTTTAATATATATATTTTATTGATTTTTAACAGAGAGGGATAGAGTTAGAAACATTGATGAGAGAGAATCATCGATCAGCTGCCTCTTGCACACCCCCCACTGGGGATGTGCCCGCAACCAAGGTACATGCTCTTGACCGGAATCGAACCTGGGACCTTCCAGTCCACAGGCCGATGCTCTATCCACTGAGCTAAACCGGTTTCGGCTATTCTTTTACTCTTAATATACTTTTATTTTTCATTCCAGAGAGGAAGGAAGAGGGAGAGAGAGATAGAAACATCAATAATGAGAGAGGATTATTGATTGGCTGCCTCCTGCACGCCCCACACTGGGGATGGAGCCTGCAATCCAGGCATGTGCCCCGACCTGGAATCGAACTGTGACCTCCTGGTTCATAGGTTGACACTCAACCACTGAGTCACGCCAGCCAGGTTAGAAGGCTATTTTTGTGTTGGCTGTTGTCATTTTTAAAATTTGACAACCTCAGGGAAAAGAGGTCAGTGCCCCTGACTAAATATTCAGGTATTTCATGTTTTAAAGATTCTTACGGCACACCGGCTGAAAATCGCTGTGCTGGGGCCCGGAAGGGGCTACCGGAGAGCCAGGGCTGGCAAGGACACGAATGGGCCACTCACCATCGGTAACGGAAGCTGGCTTTCTCAGGCTGGAGGTCGAAGGCTTGCGAGAAGACATTCAGGGCATCCAGAAAGACACATTGCTCAAACAGGCACTGGCCCTGGGGACACGAGGGACAGTCCCTTCTGCGAGCATCCCCGGCCCAGCAGCACTCAGGAGAGCGGTAGGCAACATGGGGGTAGGAGAGGAGACAAGAGGGAGGCTCAGGGCTCTCTAGATCTGGAGAGGCGTTAAGAGGCAGAGACACTGAGATGGAAAGAGATACAGAGCTAGGGAGAGATAGCCAGCACTACAGAGGCACAGGAACAAAGAGACATAGAGACCATGTGGGAGGCGAGCAAGAGTGGCAGAGCCCTCGGTAACAGGCTCGGAGCCCCGTGTTAAGAACCGGAACGAACAATCTCACTGGTACTAAGGAGCATCCGCCTTCCCGAGGAAAGAGCTGAGGCTCAGAGAGGTGACGTCACTTCCCCAGGGTTGCACAGGAAGTGTTAGCTCTGGACTCGGGACCCCAACAGCAGACGAAGTATGTGGTTTGGATAGCCCCAACGTTTCAAGAATTGAATAATGAGTGACATTAAAAGATATCCAAGTTATCAAAAATGGGGAAAAAAATAGGACTTTGTTGGTATTTATGGTTTAATATTGGTGTTTTGGTTTTTTAAAAATGCAAATGAGGCTAGTATTACCTTTCAAGTGCTTAGAGTCTCTAGATTCTAGGTCTGTACTATCCAATACAATAGCCACCAGCGTCACGTGGCTATATAAATTTCATTTAAAAGAAATACAACTTAGCCAAAATCGGTTTGGCTCAGTGGATAGAGTGTCGGCCTGGGGACTGAAAGGTCCCGGGTTCCATTCCGGTCAAGGGCATGTATCTTGGTTGCGGGCACATCTCCTGTAGGTGGTGTGCAAGAGGCAGCTGATCAATGATTCTCTTCATCAATGTTTCCAACTCTCTATCCCTCTCTCTTCCCTTCTGTAAAAAATCAATAAAATATATTAAAAAATAAAAGAAATAAACTTAAAAATGAGTTCCTCAGTCACAGTTGCCACATTTCAAGGGCTCAGCAGTGTCCTGTGGCTAATGGCCACCAGATGGTACAGTGCCACGTAGGTCATTGTCATCATCGCAGAGGGTTCTGTTGGACAGCGTCACTAAACTGTACCCGCCCCGGGGGTAAGCCTACTTGGGAGGTGAGAGAGGCCCTGAGAGGGGAGCAGGTGGGGAACAGACACAGGGCCAAGGAGCTCTCCAGGAAGTCAGAACTGGTCCCAGGAGCAAGGAGAGCCCCCACGGCGGGGGAGCGGTCCAGCAGGCCCGGTGGGAGGTGTGGGCCTGGGCGGCGCCGGGCACCTGCAGGTAAAGCACCAAGGTGAGTCGGTTCAGGAACTGGTCGTTCTCCGGCTGGAAGGAGTGGGCCCTCCGCAGGTTCTGGACAGCCGAGGAGTAGTCGCAGAGCTGGATGTAGGCCTCGGCTCTTAAGGCGTAGAAGTCCACCTGAGGGGGAGGGGACTCAGGATGGACGCTCGGTTACCAGCAGGGACTCGGTGGCCCTGAGACGAGGGACCGGGAAGGCGTGACAGTGGGGAAGTGTGTGCTACAGACTGGGCGGGCCCCCCGAATCCCTCCCCCTCACCAGCTGGGGGTCCAGGTGGATGGCACGGGAGAAGAACAGCACAGCTGTTTCCCAGTCTTCTCGCTCCAAGCACCAGTGGCCTCGGTGGTAGCTGTGGGGGCAAGGGGCACAGGCAGAGAGGTGGCCTTGACTTTGACCAGCCGGAGGGCATACAGCTGGGACTGTGCAAGTGGGTGGGAGGCATTTGGGTGGAGAGACCAGGAGAGGAGACAGATTCTCGGAGCTCATCCAGGCCAGTAGCAGCCTCTGATTCTCTGAGGCAGGTGAGCCCTGTTATACAGTTGTGTTCAGTGGAGCCCAGGGAGGGAGAGTAACTGGCCCAGAGCCGCACAGCATGTCAATTACTGTGCAGAATAGAAACCAGGGACCTTGGGACAAGGTAGTCACTCACTACTCCCTGACTTTGAGAGGAACTGTTAACCCAGAGAGTGTTGGTTTTATTTCATCAAAGCCTCGGAACGCCTGGCTGGTCCCAAAGATGCGATGTATGGTCTCCTTTGGGAGTGGATTCGCCAATGGCTTTGGCTCCGGAAACTCCTAGAACCAAAGGACAGCAAGCTGGAGCAGGCCTCAGAGATGACCCCACTCTGCTTGGACATACCTGTCAGGTGTTTTACGGGGTGGAGGAGAGGTGGGAATGAGGCCTGGTAGGAGGTAAAACCTGGGGTCTGGTGGCACCCCAGCCCCATTCCCCTGAGGAATGCTCTAACCTCTCCCTTCAGTCCGGCCTCTCTCCCTTTCCTACGGTCAAGGTCAGGGTTTAGGATTCTCATATGCATACTTGATAGATCCTCCCTTCCTCCAGTTGATGGACAGACATAAACCCCACCTGTGGCCAGACATTCCTGAGCTCTGAACCACCAATCAGCACCTGCCAAATACCCTAAGCCCCCAATTCCTAAGTCCCTAGGTCCCTAATCACCAATCAGTGGGTGCTGAGTGCCCTAAGCCCCGTCCCCTATCCTTAACGGTGCTTGTACCCCGGCCCTCGCTCTCTTCCCAGCCTCTCTGTGGAAGCAGCCGGCAGGGTACTCTTCCCTCCAATAAAGCCTGTGTGTGTCCTGCCATCCTGGTCTCTGGTCCCTTCTCTATTTCATCTGTCATGATGGTGCCTCAGACTCGGGTGAATATGGAAAATCCTCTGGCCCTGCTCAGTGGCATCGATCTGAGTTGATTGGCCCGTTCAGAACACCTCTGGAACCCTGCTGTACCAGGACACGTGGGAATCTCATCGCTTTCTTACCGGTAGGCCTCACCTCTCCCCACCCCGGTTCCCTTGACCTGGAAGGGCCTCAGAACAACAGCTACGGGTTCTATGTTGTACATTCACGTTCTACGTTCTACGAAAGCCCAGGCGCCTGGCCGGGAAAACTCTGTTCTACTCCACGGGAAAGGTTTCGAGGTGACGACCTTGGGACCTTCTCTCATCCTCTTGTCTACAGTTGGTTTTGAGAGACCACCTCATTCTCTCCCCAACTTTTCGGTGGCCCTTTTTATCTCTCGGTCATGGGAACCCCTCAATCCAAATCTCCTTGACTTTCGATTCCAATCTGGCTACTTCAAACCAAAAAGCTCATTTAAAACGGCACTTTCGATTCCAATATCCTTGGCCAAACCGCCTAATAAAACGACATTCCGATATCCTCCGAGATCTAGATAATTTTGCCACCGAACAAGGAAGCCTCAGAGATTACTATGAACAGGCTTCCCCTCCCCCCTCATCCCCGCTCTCCCACCTCGCTTCACTCCTCATGTTCCTCTCTCAGCTGCAAATCCTCTCTGCACTCTCAAACCTGTTCTCAAACCCCTTTCTCTACAACCTTAAACCTGTCCCTCTCTAACTAAGCACTTTTCCCCAGGTCTGCGCCGGAGTCCTTGGGGAGTAGTTTTTATATTTTTTTCTTTTTTTAAAATAAGAATATTTAATAGTTCATAGGTTCATTTTATTTTTTTATTCTTTTATATTTTATTGATTTTTTACAGAGAGGAAGAGAGAGAGACAGAGAGTTAGAAACATCAATGAGAGAGAATCATGGATGAGCTGCCTCTTGCAGACCCCCTACCAGGGATGTGCCTGCAACCAAGGTACATGCCCTTGACCGGAATCGAACCTGGAACCTTTCAGTGCCCTATCCACTGAGCCAAACAGCTGCAGTGGTTGTGGACCCTCCCTGTGCAGCTCCTCCTATCCGGCCCCCCCCCCCTACACACACCTTCCCCTGTGCTCTCTGCCTAATCTCTGCTCTTGTGGCCTCCAGCCAAGGAATTCACAAGTGGTTGAATTCCCTTCTCACTCTCTGATCTTTCTCAAATTGAACCAGCAGCTGCCTTCTCCCCAGTCTCTGAGAATTCAAATCCTGAGAACCTGAGCTCCAAGCAGCTAAATGTGATTTCCAGGGGCCGCCGCCATCTTGACGTGACAAGCCCCGCCCCTCTCCAGCCTCGTGGACTCAGGTAGATGGCCGCCATTTTAAGTCCCGCTTCCGCAGACCACCTCCGCCGTCCTCCTCCTGAGTCTCCATTCCATCCCCTATGTCCAGCCTCACAGATTGAGAGGCACCTCAGGTTTCTTTTCCCACTGACTGACCACCTTTAGTCCCCGACATACGCCGCAACATACGTCCCCAAACCCCTCAAAAAGACCTCGTTAACCTGACCTTTCGGGTCTTTAGTAATAGAGACAGGGAGACCCAAATCCAACAACAGGCGAGATCAGGCCAAGGCTGAGGCCCATTAGGAGGCCTTCCAGCTCCCAGCCACCGCTCTCACGAAACCCAAACGAAGTGCCAGTCCTCCTGGGTAAGTTAGGGGCTGAGCCTCCTCCGGGCCCAGCTTCACATGCAGCAAAAGGAAGGACACTGAGCCAAGTCCTGCCCAAACCCGAGACCCCCGCCTGGGCCCTGCCCAAGGCTCGGAAGGGAAGGCCACTGGAAATCAGGCTGTCGTCTGGCCCTCTGGTGAGGCCTCAGCCAGTCCAGCATGGCCGCCCTCTGGATCTGGTTTGGAGTTCCCAGACCTCCTGAGACTGGCCACCGAAGAAGCTGCCCAGGCCCTGACAGGGCCCCACAGACTCACATCACCAGGACAGAGTCTCGGGTAACAACTTGGTAGCAGGTAAGCTGATCTCCTTTTTTTAAAAAATATATTTTTGCCGGGACCGGTTTGGCTCAGTGGATAGAGCGTCGGCCTGCGGACTGAAAGGTCCCGGGTTCGATTCCGGTCAAGGGCATGTACCTTGGTTGCGGGCACATCCCCAGTGGGGGGTGTGCAAGAGGCAGCTGGTCGGTGTTTCTCTCTCATCGACGTTTCTAACTCTCTGTCCCTCTCAATTCCTCTCTGTGTAAAATCAATAAAAATATATTTAAAAAAATATATATTTTTGTAATTGATTTTTTACAGAGAGGAAGGGAGAGGGATAGAGTGTTAGAAACATCGATGAGAGAGAAACACCGACCAGCTGCCTCTTGCACACCCCCTACTGGGAATGTGCCCGCAACCAAGATACATGCCCTTGACTGGAATCGAACCCGGGACCTTTTAGTCTCATTGATTTTCTAACTCAGTGCTCTATCCACTGAGCCAAACCGGTTTCGGCCAATCTCCTTTTTAATTGACACTAGGGCCACTCATTCTGCCCTCTGAATTCGCTGGGACCCTTGTCCCCTCCTCAGTCTCTATTATGGGGGTTGACAGATCAATCTCATAGCCATTAGCCACCTCAAATTCCCCCATTCACTCTTTGTTCATTCTGCCTCCGTGCCCGGCCAGGGCTACTGTGCATCCCCTCATAAAGCCCAGCTGTCCCAAACCATAGTCACCTACCTCAGTTTCACTCTCTCCATGACCCACCACGCTGAACCATTCCTGGGACGGAAACTGCCTTATCTTCTTATCTCCTCTTCTCTGTAGGAAGAATGTGCTCTTTGGAACTCCAGCAGCGAGGCCTGGCTAGCCTGTTCCCTCCCCCGCCCCCTGACCCTTTTCTAAGCAAGAAAGTGAGGCTTCAGTCTCCAAGCCTGACAGTCTCCAAGCCTGCTGGATAATTCTTAAGCCAAACCAGAATATTCAGTGTCTAATCTCTTATCCAACCACCCTGGCTTTCACTACTCCTTTCCTTCCTTTTCCCTCCCACTTTCACTGCAGTACAATCTCAATCACTCATCTGTCACCTCCTATTAGTAGTGCCATGGTGACTACTCTCTCAGTTTGGAGTGTGGTACTAGAAAAAGGAATCTTGTACCCTTTAGTCCACCTCTTCTCCTTACACCTATCAGCTTGTCTCCATCATCAGGGATTTTTGTTCCTCTGGGGGGAAAATTCATACATCTGTCTCCCCATCAGCTGGACAGGAACCTGCACTCTCATCTACCTCTCACCCAATGTAGATGCAACCTCAATAATCAGTCTACCTGTCCCCGTATCCATCATATCTGACACAAAAGAGAAGTCCAGATTATCCCTCTGCTTCTAACCCTTGACATCACAGCAGGAGTTGGGACTGCCATAGGGAGCTTAACCACTGCTCTACCTACTTTGAAACCCTGTCTCAGGAACTACAAGAAACATGTGGATGCCCAGCAAGGGGCAAAACTGGAAAAACAAGAACCTACTTCTAACGGTAACCTATTCTCCCCTTTCATATCACTAGTGAGGCAATTAAGACTCCTACTCTTTTCCCCCTAAAAAATATCATTTAGGTCTCAGTTATCTTTCAGCTCCAGTTCTGTCTCCCACTCACCTGGACAATCCTGCCCCAGGGGTTCAGAGATAATCATCTGTTTGGCCAGGCCTTACCCAGAGACCTCCAAGAATGCTTGTTAGAACCCAGCACTACACGTCAGAGGCATAGAGCTGGCCCCCACTGGTAGGATTTCTCCATCATTGGATCCCAAATTTTTCTCTCCTAGCTAAGCCCTTATACCAGGTCTCCTCACTCTCCTTCGTTCACCAAGCTTTCTCTAACTCCGGGACACCCCTCTGGTGTCTGTCTCTCTCTCTCCATGGGGTTCCTCTCCCAACTTCTAGGGCCAGCCTTCACCCCCATAGCCTACTGTCTTGACAGCTTGATTCCACAGTTTGGGGACTGCAGCCCTGCCTCTGGGCTCTGGCTGCAGCTGCTGTTCTCATCAAGGAGGCTCAGAAGATCTGCCTCCAGCAACCCTTACAGGTCTTCTCAACCCATAGGCTACAGAATCTTCTGTCACACCGATCCTGATCTCTCCTTGCCCCCTCTGGCATGCAGGAACTCCATCTCCTGTTCCTCAAGAGTCCTGACATCTCCCTAACCCAGCCCCCAGCCCTGAACCCAGCCACTCTCTTTCCCTCGATGCCCCCTCACAGCTGGAAGTAGCTACGGAAGACTGACCGCCCACTGATCTTGCCTGGACCCTCAATTAAAAAAAAAAATATTACCAGAAGCCTGGAATGATAGACCCTCCCTTCCTCCAATTGATAGACGTAAATCCCACCTGCGGCCAGACATTCCTGAGCTCTGAACCACCAATCAGCACCTGCCAAATATCCTAAGGCCCCCCCCCCCTTCTTAAGTCCCAAATCACTAATCAGCGTGTGCTGAGTGCCCTAAGCTCCGTCCCTATCCTTAAAGGTGCTTATGCCCCGGCCATGGATCTCTTCAGCCCCTCTCTGTGGAAGCAGCCGGCAGGGGTGCTCTTCCCTCCAATAAAGCCTGTGTGTGTCCTGCCATCACGATCTCCGGCTACCTTCTATATTTAATCTATCAATACTGTCCTCAGCTCTCCTCCTGGTCCCCCTCTGCACTCACCTCCAGCTATACCCAAGGCTAATGCCTCCAGCCCAAGCCCTGCCCCAAGCTGCCCTGGGATCCTCCTGCCCAGCAGGCCCAACTGACCACCGCACTTGACTTCTGCTCTAGCTCTCCTGCCTCAGGAGACCCACCTTCTCTGAAGCTACAGACCTGTGTCCCATCATCAGTCCTCAAGTCCTGTCTGTCCTCCCTTCCTCACGACCTCTCAGTTCCTCCTCTTCTCTCACCCTCTTCTCTGGGCCCATGTCATCCCAGCCAGGACGCCAGCATCGGCCACCCCTCGGACCTTCCCACCAGCCACACGTCCCAGCAATTGCACCACCGATCCTGCCTCGCCCGTACTCTTAAATCTTCCCTGCGCACCCAGCCGTGGTCTCTGCTCCCCCGGCCCTCTGCCTTTGCCTTAGAGTCTCCCGCACCTCTTCGGAGTCTGTCATGAGGTCCCTCCCCGGGAGGCCGGTGGGTCTGAGTTGGCTCCCTCTAGTCCCTCTCCCTCCGCGTTGCTAGGCACCATCTCCACGACGCCCACAGGCTCCGCCCCCCTGGCCACGCCTCCGGGTTCCAAGAATTGTTGGAGCCCGGAAAAGGGCCACACGCTTTTATCAGCTGGGGAGGCCGGACAGCGGGGGGCAGGACACGGCTCCCTTCTCAACACCCGGGGACCCAGCAAGGGCTCTGTGAGGCCCACCACACGCCCCACGGGACAGGGTGACGCCGCCCCGCGGAACGCGCCGGGGCGGCCTGGGACAGCCACCGCCCCGCCCCGCCCCGCCCCACCACTTCCGCCCCTCGGAAGCGTGGCGTCGCCGTGGCCCGCCCAGGATTGGACGCTGGCGGCAGGCGGCGGCCACTATTGGTCGAGGGCTGGTGACGTCAGAAGCGGGGCTGTTCCGGGATGGGAACCATGGGGCGGCTGCTGAGGCGAGCCTTGAGCGGGTGCGTTTTGGAGCCCGGACCCCCGGGGAAGCGGTGGCTGGTGAGTGGGGTGAGGGGGGCGACGTAGGGGCTCCCGGGGACCGAACTCCAGTGTCGCCTCTGCCTCCCGGACGAAGCCCCCCAGGTTCTTGGCCTCCGTGTTGCTGTTTTAAATGGAGAAATGGGTCCTGGACTCCGACGGGCTCCAAACTCCCCGGAACTCCGTCCCGGCGCCCCGGTGCCCTGCCTGCGGGGCGCCCGCTCCCCCAAAGCCTTCTGGGGTCTCCGGGCCCCCTCCCCGCGCCCCTTCCCCACTCGTTCCCGCTTTGCGTTGCCCTCCTCCGGCTTCGGGTCCCAGGAGGCACGGTGAGATACAGGGTGTGGGGAGCCGTCGGGCCTCAGTTTCCCCGGTGCCGCCCGCAGGTGGCCGGCCTGGGGAACCCCGGGCTGCCCGGCACGCGGCACAGCGTGGGGATGGCGGTGCTGGGGCAGCTGGCGCGGCGTCTGGGGGTGGCGGAGCGCTGGGCCCGCGACCGCCGCTGCGCCGCCGACCTCGCCCGGGCCGCGCTGGGGGACGCCCAGCTGGTCCTGCTGCGGCCGCGGCGGCTCATGAACGCCAACGGGCGCAGCGTGGCCCGCGCCGGTGAGTTGGGGGCGCCCGGGGAGCCTGCCTGGGGGGCGCAGGGGCCACGGTTCACCTCCCGAGTTCCAGCTGCCGCATGGCCTCGGGTATTGCGGGAGCCCCGGTTTCTTTAAATTGTGGCCTCTCCCGGGAGTTGGGAGATGGGAAAACGCCCCCTGGGCCGGTCAGCGCTAACCGGGCCACCGTCTCCCTGTGCCAAGCGGAGCTGTTGGGGCTGACTGCCGAGGAGGTCTACCTGGTGCACGACGACCTGGACAAGCCGCTGGGGAAACTGGCTCTGAAGCTGGGGGGAAGCGCCAGGTGAGGCCCCAAGCCCGTCTGGGTGGGGCGGGGAGGTTGGCCTCCCATTTGAAGTGGGGGAGGCATGCTAGCCCCAGCCCGGGCTGGGAGAGGGAAGGGTGCTGACTCAGGGAAGCACTGACTGCCCCTCTCCTATCCCTCCAAGGGGCCATAATGGAGTCCGTTCCTGCATTAGCTGCCTCAACTCCAACGTGAGTCCGCCCCCCTTGGTTCTGCTCTGGGTGGGTGGTTTGGACTGGGGCCCAACACTCCTCACCAAAGCTGCCTGGGCCCCTCTGCTCCTCACAGGCAATGCCCCGGCTGCGGGTGGGCATCGGGCGCCCGACGCACCCCAGTGCAGTGCAGGCACACGTGCTGGGCTGCTTCTCCCCGTCGGAGCAGGAACTGCCCCCAGTGCTGGAGCGCGCCACAGACCTGCTCCTGGACCACATCCCGAGCGAAGCCAGGGGCCCTGGTCAGGCACCTGACACCAGTGGGCACAGCTGCCTGCTCACCTGCCAGGCCCAGATACCCAGCCACGTCCACAGAGGTGCCACGCCAACCTGCGGGATCCACATTTTATATCACTCTTGTCTGGGCTACTCTAGGCTTCCTGGGATTAAGAGGGACTGTGGCTGGATCGGTCCATTTTGGGGATGAGGGTTGGTCTTCTTGGAAAGTAGGGAAACTTCAGGAAGACTGAGCTTTTTCGTCTTTTTTGAAGACTCGGGGGGTTGGAACTGTAAGATTAAAGATGCCTGCTCAGAAGCTGAAGCTTCCTCAAGGGGTTCCGACCCTTCTCCTGCCTGAGGAGGAGGGACCCAGCAGCCCCCTCCCAGGGCTGTGTGGGCATGCCTTGGGGCACTGAGGCCTTGTCACTCCTTCCTTCAGCCCATTCCACAGATGGGGAAATGGAGGCTTAGAGAAGTCTAGCCATATTCCCAAGGCCACACATGGCAGTGTGACTAAGCCATGATCGGCACCCAGGGCCAGCGGTCATCTTGCTGCCATTGAGGTCCCAGGCACTCTCACCTCAGTGCTGCCGAATGTTTGGAATGATCTCATACGAGTGACGTGTGAGAGCACCCTGAGGTCCTCGGGGTTGGGTGAGAGGTGGACCGTACGAGACACCAGGCCCATATCCATCAGCTGGTAGCTTGGGAAGTCAGACAGCCGTTGGAGCATTGACCCATTCCGGCGTGGCGGAGTGCTGCTCTGGCTGCGGAGAGGGGAGGGGGGTGTAATCACCTCCATTTCAGAGATGAGGAGGCTAAGGTTCAGAGGGGCTTTGGGGAGCCCACATTCTGGCCCAGGGTCACTGAGTCAGTCAGTCCTACAGCTGCTTCTGAGGTCACACCAGGTCACTCACCTCTCCTTATGGCCATGACGGTGGTGGGCACCCAGGATCATGGTCGGGCTGAGCATGGTCAGCAGCTGCTGCAGAATCTCCTTGCAGTGAAGCTGGTACACTATTTCGGAGTTGCCGTCCTCCTCCTCTGGTTGCAGATGCTGGGAGGGGTGGGGATGGGCCCATGGGATCAGGCCCATAGGGGCCCCAGCACCCACCTCCGGGAAACTCCAACCCAGTGCCTGTTTTAAAAAGTGTGCCCTGGCTGTGGTGGGGTACCCATTCTCCAAAAAGCCCAAGGCCTTCCAGGGCCTCAGAGAAGCACTCCATCCAGTTTCTTTAAGACTCAGAAAAGGACAGATTTGCCAGGAGTCTCTCAGGGGAAAGTGGGGTGTCTGGCCCTGGCGTGGCTTTCTCCGCAAGCTCAGTTATCTCGGAGCGGTTTCTGTCCTTGGCCGACCCCTCTCCCCCAACCACCACCACCTTCACCCACTTCTTGTTCACCTTCATAACGTTCTGTAGGAAGTTGGTGGCCTGGGTCAGGGCCATCCCCAGGCTTGCCCGCACCTTCTGCTCTTTGGCCAGCTCATGCTGCAGCCGCTGCACCTCGGCATGCTGGTGCTCCAGCTGCTGGCTCAGCTGGTTTTTCTGGCTCCTGGTGGTGGGACCAGAGGAGTCAGCCACCTCCCTACTCCAGGGTGTTGGGCCCAGCCATTGCTCCTTAGCCCACAGGGCCCCTCATCCAGCCCCAGGCTCTTCCAGAGGAGGGAGTCGCTGGCCTGCGCCATGTGGCCATACAGAGCCCGGCTCCTGCCTGCCACTGCGGGCCCTACCTCAGAGTCTCCTTGTCCTTCTGCAGGTGCTGGACTTTCCGCTCCAGTTCGCCCAGCATGAAGCGCTGGTGCTCAGCCTCTGCTTTGTCCTGCTGCTGCTCCTGGTACTTCTCAGTCAGCATGAGGATGATCTGTGGGTGCGGGCAGATGGCCATACCCCGGATCCACCGTGGGCCCTTAGCCAGCCCCACATCCCCAGTTCTAGACTCAGCCAGGGCTCACCCCACTGCACAGAGAGGTCGCATCCCTGGAGAGCAGCTGGGCAGGGCCCCAGCTCTCTGGGAGTGGGTTCCACTTCAAGTTATAGGGGCTTTAAGCCAAACATTAAAAATGAGCTGGGGCCAGCACCCTAGAGCCCCCACAAGTAGGGCTGGTCCTCTCACAGCTGGCTCCTTCGAGAGTTGGCCCCAGGCCAGGTACACCCCTGCCAAGTGTGTGTTTGCCCTCAGGCAGGGCCCCTGGGATGCCCTCCAGTAGGTGCCGAACCCCTGTGCTGGCAGGCACACCTTCTGGTTGTTTTTGCTGTGCTTGGCCATGGCCTGCCTGGTGTTCCGCAGCATCTCCAGCTCTTTGTACAACTTGTCTTGGTTGCACTTGAGCTGGTCGTTCTCCCGCAGCAGCTGGATGCCATGCTGGGAGACCCTGGACAGCTGCAGGGTAATAGTGTTGTTCTCCAAGATGGCCTGTTTCGTTGTGTCCCACATCTGGCTAGTGGCCACCTTGTGAAAGTCCGTGGCCACCTGGTTCACTCGCTGAATGATCTCCTTCTTCACTCTACTCGGGATGGTTGGGGATGAAGGGGGTCAGGCAGAGTGGGCACAGACCTCAGGCACCCCCTTCCTATGTGGAGGTGCCCAGAGTGCTTAGGGCCACCTCTCTGCTAGTCCCTCCAGGAAGGGATGGGCTGTGGGCAGGAGGCTTCTCACTGTAGACCCTTTGTACCTTTTTAGATATATATATTTTTTGTATTGATTTCAGAGAGGAAGGGAGAGGGAGAGAAAGAAACATCAATGATCTGCACACCCTCTACTGGGGATTGAGCCCACAACCCAGGCGTGTGCCTTTGACCAGAATCAAACCTGGGACCCTTTAGTCCACAGGCCGATGCTCAATCCAGAGCCAAATCTGCTATGGCACCCTTTGTACCTTGAATTATGAACCAAATCAATGTATTACCTATAAAATAAATATGACTTAAGTCACAACACCTGGCAAAGGGAAGGTGAGGAATTCTTCAATGCCAGTGTGAGGGCGAGCTGGGGAGCTTGGTTGTTTTCTCACACCCTCCATAAACCTGCCAGGATCCCGGGGAGCGCGGGATGGGAGTCAATGAGCTAGCGCAGTCTCCCCGATCAGAAGTGAGGCAAACGGGTCTGAGGACCGGGCTGCGCCTGCCCCACTGATAGAGGCTCCCAGCACCCGGCCTGCCCACCTGTCCCTGTCCAGCACCGACTTCTTCTCCAGGTTGTACATGTAGTCCTTGTATTCTTTATCCTGCTTCTGCAGCTGGTCCTCCAGCAATGAGAACTTTTCCGAGAGTTCCTCTTTCTGCTGCCGGAACTCCTCCAGGGCTGCCAGCTTCCCCCCTGCCCCCTCCCAGGACACAGGCCTGGTGAGGGGCCGCCCAGGAGGACAGGTCCAGGGGCAGCGAGGGCCTAGAGCAGTGCCCCTCCCTCCCCACTTCCTCTTGCCTGCCTTAGGGTTCCTGATCCAGTAGAGCCAGACCCCTGCCCTACACCCAGTCCTGCCCATCTTTACTGCTTTATTCTGGAACGCTCTCTCTTCCCCTCCACTAATCTTACCAAGACTCGTTCAGCTTTCACCTCTGAGAAGCTGTGTTTGACACTCCTCCACGCCGGTCTCGTGAAGGCGTGGTGACAGCACCCACGCAGTCCGATCACCTCTGGGCCGGCATTCATGCTGTCATTAAGCCTCAAAACAACCCTTGCCCCCTGGGTGACCTTGGCCAAGACACTTCACCACCTTAAGGTGCTCCCTTACCTACAAATGGGGGAGAGAGCACTTCCTGCTTCATAGGATTGCCGGGACATTCATTATGGAAGGTAACCAATATGTAGGAAGCAGCACGTAGCTGCTGCTGTTTAAGGTAGACATATCCCCATTTCCCAGGTGGGAAAACAGGGTCAGAGAGAAGTGCTTGCCCAAGCCCACAGAGAGTGGTGGAGCTAGGACTTGAGCACGCAGAGCCAGAGACTTGGGTTCCTTGTCTCCATGGCAGGTGCCCCCAGGCCCCGCTCACCAATGATGATGTTCTCCGTGGTGAGCTGGTCCTTGGTCTCCTGGAACTCGTGGCGCACCTGGGCTAGCTGGGCTTCAAAGGCGTCCTTCTCCATCTCCTTGGCCAGCTGCAGGCTTTGGAGCTGCTCGTTGAGGTCAGCGATCTCATCCACCCGCTGGTTGAGCGTGCGTTTGAGGAAGGCCACAATCTCCTTTTTATTGTTGGCCAGCTGCTCGTACTCCTGGCGGAACAGCTTCTCCTGCACGGCCAGCTCGTCCCACTTGTGCTGGTACCTGAGGCGAGGGTGGGGCAGAGCTCCAAGGGTCTGGGCATGCCAGGCCTCTGCCACTGGCCCACCTTCCTCAAGACCTTCCCACAGAGGGGCACGTGAGGCTCCTCATGGTCAGAATCCAGCCTCCTCCCCCCCTGACCTGCACTCATGACCATAGCCAGTGTCTGCTCAGTGCATTGCTTTCATCACATCATTACAATGGAAGGTCCATGAGGGCAGAGCCTTTCTCTCGTGCTCACAGCTGTGTATAGCAGATACTCTGTGTATTTGCTGAATTCTCACAACAGCCCATAAAGAAGTGGGTACTATGCTGATTATATTCATTTGACAGATGAGAAAACGGAGGCTCAGAGAAATAAAGAAACTCCTAGTAAGTGGCAAAACCAGAATTTGAAATCAAGTCAATCTGACCTCAAAGTCAAGGCTCAACCACAACACTTATTGCCAAAATGGACCAGTTCTGTGCCCTCCCTACCCTTTGCACCTGCTAGCTTTCTCACCTTCAGGCACTGTTACCTCAGTGGAGCCTTCTTGGCTTTGAGCCATATTCGTGACCCTCTCTTTAGTGCCCTTGTCTCACTGGGCAGTCAAGACCTGATGTGTCTGTCTTCACCACCTGGCTGACCTCTGACCTCCTCACCTCTATATTCTTGGGGCCTGGCAGAGGAGCTGAGCAAATAATAAGCACCCAATACTGTCTTCCAAATGCATTTTCCCCAAATACATTCGATCCAGTGCCTCAGCTTGAAGGAAGCTTGTGAATTTTTAAGAGTATCATCTGATCTATTGGTTTCCAAGGGAATAATTGGTAAAATTATTTGGAGAGATGTTTTACTTCATAACTTATCTTTTGAATGGCTACTGCATACAGGGCCCTGCAGGGTGCAGCACTGAGTGACCTGCTTTGTGGAGCAAGGAAGCAGCCTGGAGTAGGGAAGTCAGGGGGCCAGAGCTCCCATTCTGCCACCTCTTCCTCCTGGAGGCGACCTGTCCTCCCTGAGCCTCAGACCCTCCATCTGGGTAACAGGGATGCACGTAGACCTCTCTCATGGCTGTGTTCAAGGACACACTGAGCACCAGCACAGCACCCACCTGGCACACATGAAGGAGGCAATGTTAGCTGTATCTGCAACATGTGGGGTTCTTGCTCATCACCAAAGGGTCTTTTAGGGGTGACCCTGAGACTGAGCCAGTGCATCATAACTGGGAGGAAACTTGGTTTGAAAATAAGAAAATGGCCAGATGAACATGTCTTGGAAGACACACACACACACACACACACACACACTTCCATCCCCAGCTGAGCCTGCACAGTGGCTAGCTCTGGGCAGAGCTTCTGGCCCCACAGGACCAGACTCTATGTGCCCACCCACCGAGCCAGCCTGTCCTCCAGGTCTCGGATCTGGATGTGGTAGAACTCCCGTAACTCCTCGGCTAAAGCCATATCCATGGCCACAACGGGTTCCTTGGCACTTTTCTTCTCCTTGGCCACCTTGTTTGCCTTCTTTTTGGGAGCCATGGCTGGTGACCACCACTACCTCAGGGCTCCTTTAAAAGACCAGGTGGTTGCTAAGGAAGTTGGTCTCATACATAGCAACAAACTGAAACAAGGCTTAAAGGGGCCCTGCCCTATTTTGGGCAAGGCTGGCACTGGCAAATGGTCTGCACCTCCAAGGCTGACAGCACCTCCATAGAGGCTCTTGGTTGGGGTTTCCCAGGCTCTGATGTCTCCAGACCAGGATGGCAGGCTCTCAGGGCACTCTTGGGCTCTGGGGAGACCCCTTCTCCCCCAAGTGGCAATAAGTGATGTAGAAATATTATAGTAGTTCAGAGGCCTATAAGTCACTACCCTGCCCCTTTGTGCTGATCGGCGGGACATTTGCCCCAGAGCTCCCCAAGACCAGCAGCTGGTCACCAGGGCCCCAGGCCAAGAAACTCCTCCTTGAGGCCTGAGACCAGCTTAATTCCTTGGTGATGCAGCTACATAGCAGAATCATCCTCTTGGTTCACCCAAAGCAAGTGGGGAGGCAGCACGGTAAGGGTAGGTATTTTAATGAGCATCGACCTACGAAGTGGGAGGTCACAGTTCAATTCCGGTCAAGCCAGATGCCTGGGTTGTGGGCTCGATCCCCTGTGTGGGGCACAGGAAGCAGCTGATTAATGATTCTCATCATAGATGTTTCTATCTCTATCCCTCCATCTCCCTTCCGAAATACAAGGAAAAAAAAGATATTTATATTTTTAAAAAATAGATGTTTTATAGAGGAGGCTCCCATACTGGGGTCCCAGGACATCCCCGTCCAGAGGTTGGCTCAGTGTTCCACCAGGCTCGGTGAAAGCGCTCCATTTGTCCCGCGCTGACCCCGGCAGACAAAGGCCTTACTCTGGAGCTTTGCCCTGGCTGGCCCCTCATGCTCTATCTCCCCTGAACGCCCCTCCTGGAGACCATGCCTGTAGGCCTGTAGATTCACACAGAGCTTGTGGCCCAGGCACTCCTAAGGCAGGGCGGGTCCTCTTCACCCTGTTGTCCTAGAGCTTGGCACTTAGCAAGAGATGACACAGTCCATCCTGGCAGTTTGAAGGCTAGTCAGGGTGAAACCCTATTACTTCCGTCTTAGGGGTTGGCTTGAGTGGTAGGTCCTTGCAGTGGGTGCCAGGGGACAGGGAGGGTTCAGAAACAGGGTGTTTACTTTTGGCCATGAGGCAGGTTGGAGCAGTGGTTGGTTAAAGGTGGGATTGAGTTTCTCTGCCCTGGACTGCAAACAGGACAATACAGGCCCAGAGGGGAGAGTGGCCTGACCCAGTGCCCAAAACTTGGGGCTAGCAGAGGGACTGGCCCTCCAGCCTAAAGCAATGGTCATCCCTCCAGCTGCAGATTGCTGCCTCACTGACCTGAGAAGCTCCCCCACAGAAGCCTTGCCCAAGCAAAGGGTCCCCATGGAGCCTGAATCCCCTAGCTGCCTTCTCCTTCCTCTTGCCTCCTGGGTTGCTACCCTTTTACCGGAGGCCCATCTCGGGGTAGTTCTGAATCTCCGCCTGATGGGCTGCCTAAAGCTCACAGAAGGTATCAGCTCTTGGGCCTGTACTTCCTCCTGGGAGTCAAGGCCAGGTTTATAAATGCAGCTGCAGTCACACAGCAAGACTGACAGCTGGACTTTCCGGCTGGCCTTCTTGGTGGTGGGGTGGGGAAGGGAATGCTGCAGGTTGAAGGATACCCCTTTTTGGAACTTGTTTGGAGTCTCTCCAAAGCTCCCTATTCTGGGGCCACAGTCCTCACCTTTCCCCAGTGAGCCATCTCATTGCTGCTGCTTAAACTGTGTCCACACTGGGGACTGGTGGTGGTGGGCTCAGAGCTTCCTGACTTTGTGATCTGAGTCTTCTGAGAGAAGCAGGTGCAGAGCACACAGCCCAGGAGGCGGCAGCATCAGTCCAGGGCAGTGGCCGGTGGGCTGGGGCACTGCCACCTCTAGAAAGCACTGGAGGGAAGGAAGCCTAGGAGCAATGGAGACAGGGCGGGCACACATCATTCAACATACCTGACATCTTGCCAACCTCTGTGGAGCACATGACATAAGAAATTTGTTCATCCAGGGGGTGTGTGTGTGTGTGTGTGTGTGTGTGTGTGTGTGTGATACAGTACTACCGCCCACTAGTGTGAGCTCATGAGGACCCAGTCTGCCTTGTTTGTGGCTGCATTCCTAGAGTCTAGGATGGAAGTTGGCACAAAATAGGCACTTACAAACAATCTACTGACCACACGTGGAGGGGATTCCAGAATAGCAGAGTAAGGAGCTCGATCCACCCTCCCTTCAGCAAGACAACTTAATTGAAGATTTAAAAACAAGAAAATTATTTAAAGTATCTGAAAATTGTTCTAAGGGTATACAGAAAATGGGAAAACATTCATTTAAGAAAATCTGCCCACTGGTGTGGCTCAGTGGTTGAGCATCCACTATGAATCAGAAAGTCATGGTTCAATTCCCAGTTAGGACACATATCTGAGTTGCGGGCTCGATCCCCCGTTGGTGACAGGCAGGAGGCAGCCAATTGATGATTCTCATCATTGATGTCTCTATCTCCCTCTCCCTTTCTAAAATGAATAAAAATATTTTTTATTTTTATTTTTTTTTAAATATATTTTTATCGATTTTGTACAGAGAGGGAGAGAGAGAGAGAGTTAGAAACATCGATGAGAGAGAGTCATCGATCAGCTGCCTCTTGCACACCCCTTACCGGGGATATGCCCGCAACCAAGTTACATGCCCTTGACCGGAATCGAACCCGGGACCTTTCTGTCCCCAAGCTGACGCTCTATCCATTGAGCCAAACCGGTTTTGGCTAAAAATATTTTTTAAATTAACAAAACAATAAAGAAAAAGTTTCCACACAGGCAGTAGAATGAGAAATTGCCAAAGAAAAAAGCCTGTCAACCAAGAATTCTATATCCAGCTAAATTATCCTTCAGTATCACTCTTCCACAGGCATCACTCACAGGAGGGGACAAAGTTCCTCATCAAGGTCCTGTGGGTTTGAGCCAAGCCTGCTTGATGCCAAGGTCTGTGCTCCTAGTCATTGCATTCTGCCTCCCAGGAACAAAAGCCTGGTGTCACACCAACGTGGCGTATAGGCACATGAGCAGGGTCTGGCGGAGACCTCCAGCATGCAGCCTCTGAGATGGAGACATTCTAGACACAGAGAAATAGGGTGATGGAAGGACAATATTATCTACAGGTGGCTTGCTGTTGCTGCTAGGGGCCAAGACAAGCTTCACAGATTGTCCCCAAATGTGCAACAGCTACAGATCTTAATGTAAGTAACGGAGACCCGGATCCAGGAGACTCCAAGCCGTGGCTGGGGTGGCTGGACTCCTCTGCCATGGACCATTGCAGAAGCATTTCTTTCCACTTTCCACAGTGAAACCAGCCCAGAGTCACCTTGGACACCATGAATGAGCGCCAAATTATTTCTTTATTAGACTCAAGTACTTTAGTACAGAACAGTACAGAGATGATACATGTTTGTGCTTCAATACTTTCAAACACTGAAATTCTGATAATTTCAAAGTAAACAAGTTTCAAGACAGACTAGGTTTTTAAAATATCCTTTTGATAAATTATTTTTTCTATAAATAACAGAGAAAAGAAAACCAACATGTTCGACGAACAAAGTCCTGAAGCGTTAAGCGTTGGTCACGGGGAGGGGACAAAACAAGCAGTAACAGTAAGAAACCAACGAATGCAAGTACCTACAGCTCTGTCCTAAGGAAATAAGATATCGCAAGGGGCGAGGGGAGACAGGCCTGAAAACTAATCTGAGTGCAAAGGGGAGAGAGTTTTCCAGGCCGTGAGGAGATAACAGCACAGGCATCTACCGGGCGGGCGAGGAGCATGTTCTGAAAGGAGAGCGGGCGAGTTAAACTAGCACACACCATGTTTGCAACGACATCACAAGACAGTAATATACACGCAGTCTGCAGGAGTAAAAGGGTGGCGGGGGCTGGACAGGGGACATTTTTGTGACTTCCACTGTCATTATATTTCATGACAACAGCAGCAGAACAAACAGTGTGCTCACTCCCGGAGAACGAGAACTGCTGAGTCTTGAGGATGACGAGACATCCTGCCTGCATTTGCTTCTTTAAGTTTCGCCTTAGAGCTAAGTTTTATACAGCTAGGTTTTTATACAGGGAATAAAATGACCATTTTCTCTTATAAGCACAACAACATATGACCCTGCACTACAAAAAAATAAGATATTAGGAAGTATATTCCACTGAGGATCATCTGAGTGGGCAAAGGTTTGTATAAATCCATTGGGCTATGATTCTGGCCATTGGATGTCTTAGGGGACAGGCCCTCTCTACAGAGAAGGCCCTCTGACAGCATCCTGCAGAGCCCACTCTGTTCTAGTCCATTCCTGACCCCTGAGCTCTCCCAGGCTGACCCCAATAAGAAAGACTTTCTCTGATCAAAAGATCAGGCCTAAATCCTTCTCCAGGCGACCAAGGTCTCCAGGGGGAGCTTGCTCCTTACTGGTCTGGGCACAGTGACTTAGACCACAGAGCGACTTCCCTCAGGGCCACTGTGCTGTGGATGCAGCCATGGAGGGCACGGTGACAAGCTGAACACCAGCCCCAGCCCCAGCCCCAGCCCTGGGGATATGGGCCACCAAGGAAAGCAAAGAGGTGGGTTCCAGCTCCAACCTCCGAGATGCCACCTGGTTCTCCCTGCCCAGCCTACCTGATGAGAGCAGGCACCGGGACGTGGGGACCGGAGTGAAAGGACAGAGAGAGACTCAGTTTGAAATACTCCCGGAACAGACGTCTGCGTCCCAATAAGATCAGAAACAACCCAAGACAGGTTTTTAAAAACACTCAAGCATCTGCCTGCCCATACTCAAGCAATCGGCACGTGTCGCACCAGGTTATGTACAAGGTCACGGAATCCTAACTAATGGGGAGAAGGTGTCCATTCACTCTGAACAGTCCCAAAACTTTTCCAGCAGCGTGCCGCTTACACACGAACCTCTCCTCCCTGGGCACGTATAGAAGACAGTCTCTTTAAAAAACACAATGCATTATTGTCTTTTGTTTCAGAGAGAAGAGGGCATCATTAAACACGAGGACGCAGCGGCAACAGCGCCGCCTAGGGCGTGCAGAGCTGGGAGGCAGGGAAGGGCAGGGTCAGCAAAGGAACCACCGCGGGCAGCGGCAGGGCAGCGGAGCATGGGGGAGAGGGTTTGCTGTTTGGAGGGGCAGCTTATTGTTTTAAGTGCTTATTTCTTCATCTGTTTTATTCAGTTTCTTCAGCGTGTCCAGCAGTTTTTGTGGGGTGAGAATCTGCGTGGATCCTGAGGGAGGCAGAGAAGACAGTGAGCTCACCGGCTCTAGGTCAGGATACTTTCTCCTTCCCTGCTCCTTGAGATTCCCAGGCCTGCACCCATTCCCCCGTCCCACCCTGGTGTGGTCAGTGGAGGCAGGGAGGGGGTTGGGGATTGATTGGGCTTTGGGGACTGGGGATAAACAAACATCCTCTGGCTCAGGCAGGGTCCCAGGCTGCACCAAGGAAGGAGCAGGCCTCTCCCTCAGGGCTCAGCGCCATCTGCAGGAGATGAGGCAGCTGCATTGTGAACTCAAGGTGAAGCAGGGAGAGGAATTCCAAACCACATGGCAGGGGAAGGCTGGAATGGGGAGGGGACTATGAGGGGCCTGTGTGTGGAAAGAATGATGCCTGGGAGGGAGGCAGCCGGTGGGCAGAACACCCTGGGGGAAGCCACTGACCTCTGGAGCAGATGGTTGGAACTGCCGTGGGTGGTGGGCGGGACCTCAGGTGTGAAAAGGAGAGGGCGGGGGACCTGAGGCCTTACCTTATAGAGACCGTGCATTGTAAGAGATTAGAAATGCTTGCAAAATTTTAAGCTAATGGAATTAGGTATAACTTCTACCACAAAAGAATAAACAAATAAAAGTAAATGAAGTCCTTTTTCATAAGGAGAGAGATCTAGTAAGTGCAGTGAAAAAAGATGCATGGATCGTGGGATTTGGACATGGACATATCAAACAGAACAGAGGTGGCTGGTGTGTGAGCATGAGGCCTGCACGCATGCAGCAGGGGCCGTCAAAGAAAGATCCTGGTGGGAGAGAACTGAACAAAAGAGACCCGTACTTGAAAATGTGCCTCCCTGGAGATGCGGGTGCACGCATGGCCTTCATGGGACGAGGGAACAGAAACCTCAGGATGCCAGACTCCCACCCCAAGCGAGGGTAGGCAAAGAAGGCCTGGGCTGGCTTGCTGGGCGTGATCTCACACACCAGGTCCCTGTGCCTTTGACCACTACTTGCTCAGCTGACCCGTGACTGCTGGAGCTGCAGGCTTGGACCTTCCCGGTCAGTGCAAACCAGCAGCAAACTGGCAAAGCCTTCCCTGGTGTGAGGGCTTCCTCCCGACGTCCCATTCCCTGCAGTTCAAGTCCCAGGCACCTGTCACAGCTCGGAGCAGCTACTGGCCACTGTGCTGAGTGATGCCCGGCAGCAGGCACCAGTCCCCAGCTCTATAGCGACTCATGACCCTACACACTGAGGCTCCTGCAAACGGGACAGAGCTTCCGCAGCACGCCCCTGGTGTCATTCTGGTGCTCCTTTCCCCCAGAGCACACACTTCTGCGACTTTACCAGTCTTACTGCGAGTCCTAAAGAAAGCCAAACACTCTACAAGTGGGGAAGCAGGACTTAAATGTTACAAGCTTTAAACAGTAAGCTGTGTGAGAATGAGGGCTTTCCAATGTCCGTCGACAAGGACTGTGGGTCTACATCCTGAAAGACAGCCTGGGCTCTGGGTGCAGGGTTAGCTCAAGGGCATCCTAGGCTGAGACAACAGCAGCCCACATGCCAGCGAAAACCATCCCTAACACCCTCCTCCAGGCCATCCACTGAGCTCCAGGAAATGAGGAGGCCGCCCCGAGTTAGAGGAAACATCAAGAGGGGGCTCTGGTCAGGTGCCCGTCCCAGTGCTCCCCCTGCCCTTGCTCACTTGCAAATTCAGAATTTAGGGGAGGCCAAAGAGGATGAGGACTCCATCATGCTCTAGACTTTTCTTATATTATCTGATCACTGACCATCTGGTGTTCCCAGTCTTTGACTGAAAGAAGAAAACCCAGGACCAAGAGGATTGGGCAACTAGAGAGGACCATAGGGCTCTGTGCCAGGCACGGTCCTGGGCCCTCACTCACTGATCTCTTTAAAGGACCGGGAGCAGCTGAGTGCCCATTCTTGCTACCCAATCATCTGTATTGCTTTAATACTTGGTTAGGCTTTCCACCACCACAAATATTGCTAATTGAGTGGGGTGGGTTGACCACATAGGCCTTCTAGAACAGCAAGCAGGTCCCACTGCTCTGAGGGTCCCTTTTAGTCCACATAACTGGAAGGTAGAGAAATGTGAACGGGTCTCCAAGAACAAAGTCATCCAAAAGACTCAATGGTGTGGCAGACACAGAGGTCTGCTGGGACAAAATCCTCCTTTCGATGGCCGGGTGCTCAGCTGGCTAGAGCATCGTTCTGATAGACAAGGTTACAGGTTCTATCCCCAGTCAGAGCACATACAAGAATCAACTGATGGATGCATAGATGGAGCAACAAACCCATGTCTCTCTCAAAATCAATTTTAAAAAGCACATCTTGCAGTACATGCCACCTGCACACAGAACTAGACAGCTCTAACTCTGATTACCAACCTCCCAAGGGGCTTCTGAAGAATGACTGTTTATGCAGCTCCCAGGTTTGGCTTTCCTTGGGAAGGCAGAATGGGAGGTGCTCAGGACCATGGCCAGCCCGTGTCATGGCTCATAGCCACTGCTATTTCTCACCTCACTACTGCCCGGGGCAGGCTGCCCAGGGTGGAAAAGAGGAGAAGATAAATGGCCTGGACTTCAGAGCAAGTCCTTTAGGGATGAGCAACTCCCTTCACATAAACCTTCTAGGTTTCCTAGCCAGGGTGCTGAAGGCATTCCCCTGAGGTCAACGGGGAGCTGAGAATGGGTAGGGCTGCATGGCTGGAGTCAGTAATCTGAGGAGCCTTGGGACCCTATGGTCCAGCCTCCCTGTGGTCCACACACTGTGGCCCAGGAAGTGGGAATGACCTAGCCACAGGTCTTTGTGACAGAGCTGGGGCAGGGGACCAGGCCTGCCCACTGCTCAAGGTGACTCGCATTCTGAGACTCACGGGGCCACAGCTCTGCCCAGGGGGCGGGCACATTTTCAGGGCCCATGTCAATGGAGTCTATGAAGCCGGGGACACAAACTGTGGCCTCATCACAGAATGGGCAGTGAAGCTAAGGCCTGAGTAACGAGACATGGCGTTCTGGATCAGTCTGCCAATTAAACGCATCTGAGGAGGGTCCCAGCCCATATGGAGAATGGAAGGAGAGAGGAGGGAACGAGGACAAGAACACGATCTGCATAATCTACCAGACAGACAGTGGGTCCTGGTGACTGAGCAGGTGCAGTGCGGTGGGAGTTTCTATCCAAAGACTCTCAGCACCGAGTTCTGTAGGCGCAGAAGGTAACTACTCAGCTCTCGGAAGGGTCACAGGAGGGTAAAATAAAAGCAATGACTGAAAGAGCAAATGGCTGATCAGTGCGTTTCCCCAAAGGAACATGAAACAGGAGCTCTTCCCATGGTTGGCAGGAGTTCACCACGTAGCTGGTGGCTGGTGACCCCAACTTGTCCCTCGGGATCAGTGCCTGTCCCGGAAGGCGGAATTACACGTCTAACTACCACTGACTGGAGTCTACTCTCCGCAGGGCCTCGCCCTCAGTCGGGTACCCAGGGGTGTCCCTGAAAGCCTGCTGGCCTCGTGCTCAGGTTCCCACACCTCGCCCCAACCTGGACAAGGCGCTCTCTTCCTGGTGCCCACAAACGCCTCCCTGAGCCACCAGGCGTGGGCGCGCCCCTCTGGCATCCCTCGACCCCTCTGGAGGGCTGTTCACAGCATTATCCTCATTCTCAGGTTAAAACCCTAGAGGCTGCCGCCGTGGGCTGGGCAGCAGGGGACCCCGGGCAGGAGAGGGCCCGCGGGCGGCCCGGAGGCTCCGTGGCCAGTGTGTGAAGGCAGCATCGGACACATTTTCAATCGGCGTTAAGAACTGCAAGCATTTTCTTGTTAAAGGAAAATCAAATAAATAATAAACTAAAAAGAGGAAAAATGAAAAGAGTGACGGAATAACCAAAGAAAACCCTTCAGAGCGGAAGAGTTTCTTTTCTGTAATAAGCTGCTTTTACTTTGTTTCTTTGGCTCTCACTCCATTGTTGGAGCCTGATCCTCAAAAGATACCCTAGAGGACTCCCTGAAGTCGGGGTGTCTCAGGTCCGTGAGAAATTTGGTGGGAGTGAGAATGTGAGTAGAACCTGCGGGAGAACAGAGGCCAGCTGACTGCCTGGACAAAGGCACGGAACAGGAACATGCCAACTTAGGCCTACGTTTTATGCAGCCAGTGAGATATGAGAAAGCAAGACACACACGAGCACACGCGCGCACACGCGCACACGCACACACACAGGCACACGTACTGCAAGGATGGCTGGCATGCACAAAAGCGGGTGAGGCCACACAGCGGACGTCGGCTGTCTGAGCGAGGCCCCTCCACAAATCTGTGGGCCACTCCATCGCCCCAGGTTATACCACCTCCCAATGGGGAACCTCCGGTCGTGGCCAAAGCTAAAGATGGAGATACACCCCCAAGCCTGGCTATGACAGCCTCTGCCCAGGAAAACTGTGTATGAGCTAAGAATTATCCAACACACGCATGCAACACGTATGTAAGCAGGGAGCAGAGCGCTTTATCTCGAGGCCTACGTTACGAAAAGGAAGGAACGATACAGGGAAAAATGGCGACCAGATGGGGGAGCTCCAGGAAGCGGGGCCAGGAGGAAGAAGGTCCGGCCTCCCCACTGAATGGCGCTTCTAGGTCCCTCTTGAGACCCCGGGGATGACCACGTGACTGGTGTGCAGAACCTGCTCCCTGAGAGCCTGGGGGCACTGTGACTCAGCCACTCCAAAGGGAGGCATGAAGCTGACACGTCTTATCGAGGAAAGGGGAGAGGGCAGAACCGGCCAGGTAGTATGTGCCATCCGGGCAAGTTCACTCATTTTGTTAAGGGAAAGGAGGGACTGAGGAAACCTGGTGAAAGCAAGATTTTTCTCAGCTCCCTCTTTCTCTTCCAGCCCTAGCACTGTGGGCATGCCTACAGGCAAGAAAAGGAGAAACACGTCCCCCTGCACTGAGTCAGCTCCTGTGAGTTGCTTCCTTTCCTCTGGAAAACCATCAGGAAGGCGCAGACAGGGTGGGAAAGACCGAGAAATAGTAGGGCCGGAGGGGGGCCTGGGCAGAGGCCGGCACGCCTCGGGCAGTCTCTGCTCACACGGGGTCTGTGAGTCTCTGATGGAGAGGGAAGGAGGGGTCAGAGTTTACCTTCCTTTCACTGAGCGCCTCGGTGTGAGGCCCAATGCCAGGACAAGTCCCACCTCAGGCCTAGTTGGGGCTGTCAGGGGTGTTCTTAGCCTGTTTGGTTGGATAAGGAGATGGCAGCCTGGAGAAGGGGGTGCGTGCCCTGATGACCCACAGGCAGGGGCAGAGCAGAGTGGGCCGGGCTGCTGGAGTCTGTGTCGGGCCCCCCCCTCCGCACGCAGACACGAGGAAGGAACCCTCGCCCCTTGGCTTCTGCCAACCACGAACAGCTCTAGAGACAATGCCTGGTGGGGCAGCGGAGTCGAGGACAGACGGATGGAATGAAACACCAAAGCGTGGAATGGAGCCCAGTGCGAAGCAGCCCCGCCCCCTGGGAAGATCCCACTCACCGATCAGCACCTCCCACTTGCCGTTGGCCTGGGTCACCTCGTAGGCGCAGCGCATCTCGCTCAGGCTCACGCCTCCCAGGATGAAAATGATGAGGCGGGGGCCGCTGCGGTACTCGCCCGGGGCCTTGTTCTTATGCCAGTGCCCATAGCGGGCGCTGAGGGGGAGGGGAGAGAGAGATTAATAATGTTCACCGCACTCATATCTGTGTGACATGTGGCATGTTCGTTCTGTACACGTGAGCACAGAGAAGCTGTGTAGTGAGGGGTGTGAATGAACCACAGCGGGGCCCGGAGCAGAACTGCTACGAGCGCCCTGCTGCCACCCGTCAGCCTCTTAGAAACAGGTAGGCGGCAGCCAGGTTCAGGTTGGCTTTACTGTTTGTCATGTCTGACTCCTCCGGCTGCTGTTCTACCCCCGGGGTACCTGTTCCTAGGCTTGAACGGGCACTCTGCTGGCAGCGAGCAGGAACAACAGTCACAGGAACAACGAAGGTGCCCAGATGCCGCACTGGGCCGGCCTCCTGCACTGAGAGGAAGGGCCTCACGGCGGGGGGGCGCTGCCAGGCCGGCCTGCAGCTGGCTGCGATGAGCGCAGCGAGGGGGTCTCACGGGCCATGCTGTGTCACAGCAGGACCTCTATGTAGCCAACATGCCACCAGAGCCACCAGAGCCAGTTCCCTTCCTACAGCCTTGCCTGCTCGGGCTTCTCACCTGACAGCGGTGGTGCTGAAGGAGGCAGAGGAGCGGGTAGAGATGTAAGGGTAGTGCTTGGTATCGAGCTTGTCCTCAATGGTGTCCTGGAAAGAAAAGAGACTGATGTTGCCCGGCCTGTGTGGCTCAGTGGTTGAGCATCGACCCGTAAACCAGGAGGTCATGGTTTGTTTCGGGTCAGGGCACATGACTGAGTTGAGAGTTCGATCCCCAGTGTGGGGTGTGCAAGAGGCAGCCGAGCAATGATTCCCTCTCATCATGATGTTTCTCTCTCTCTCCCTCTTCCTTTCTCTCTGAAATCCATACAAATATATAAAAAGAAGAGAGACCAATGTTAGGCCTGCCCCCTGCTGGGAAAGGGCTGACAGAACCCAGGTGAGAATTCAAAGAACAAGTCATTTAGTGAAAACCACGCCAGACACCTCCCTGCTCTGCTGCTGCTGCCGAGACCGCTGCCCACGGCAGTGCCCGGTGCGGAGAGCAAGCCCAGAACCGCCAGCATGCTGAAGCTAATCTGTAGGTTTGCTCATTAAGAGACATCTTTAAAACTTGCATTGATTTTTCTTGCAATGAAGTCTTTTCTCCCTCTTACATTCTATGTGAGACGGTGCCGTATTCTGTCCCATAAACTCCTGACACCATCAGTCTTGTAGAAACCGGGCACCGGCAGTCTCTCAGGCAAGTGAAAGCCTTCAGCCCTCTTTGCCCAAAGGACTAATTATCCGGTGGGTAGATCCCAGCTCTCACCTCCTGCTGCCTAGGAACCTACACTCCCCCTTCAAGCCACCATGCCAAGCGCGCACGTCTCCCTGGGGGTCCAGGAAGGAGGGCAGAAAAGGGAGAGAGAACAAAGGAGGGATGAGGCAGGGGCTGGCCTTCCCTCTGCAGCAAGCCAAGATCTGCAGTTGGTTTCTAGATGGCTCTTGTTCACCCAGCCTTTTGGTTTGTGCATTTTAAAAATAGGAAGCTGACTCACTATATATATTTAAAACGTATTTATTTTAACGTACAATTCAGTACGAACACCTGCTCAGCAATGAGTCAGCAAAGGGATCCTGAGCAAGTCTCTTCGTTCTCGGACCCCAGTCCCATCTGCCTGTCAAGTGAGCAGTGGACAAATTAGCCCTAATCCCACCCCAGCATCTAGCAGGTGGGATTCTACACATGCTTCCCTGATCTACAAGAAGAGATGGGAGGGACAGGCGCCTTACAAACGTGGAACATCTACTTTGCACAGAGCATGGCCAGAGGCAAACACCAGGCAGCGCGCATGCACAAGGAACCTCCCTGACACAAGCTCCTGGAGTCCAGGCCGCCCTGTGGGCCGGTTGGACAGGGGTGGTGGTGGATGGCACAGTGAGATGGGATGGGGACATTGAAGGAAAGGGAGTGAGAACATTCCAGACAAGGGGTGGGTTTGAACAGAAGAGTAGAAGCAGAAATAGGCTTGGCAGGGTCTCTGGCTGGCATGGAGGACTGAGGGACGGGATAAGTGGGAGAAGGAGGGCAGGCTGAGCTCACATTCCAGAGGCCCACCCACACCTCAGTATGGAACTGGCTACCCATGGGCCCTTTTGATGCTGTGATCTGTTTGGTTCCTCTGGGTGTGGTACCATTGAGGTTCTCGACCTCCTGCTGCCTAGAAATCATGTTGTCTCGGGACCAGCCCTTCATTAGCCCCAGGACAAGACATGCTGCGAGGACTGCGAGAGCTCCCGGGAGCCCGTCCTTTGGGGGTCATCGCCACCTGCTAGCCGTGGAGCTGGAAGCATCAGGCCTTTTCGTGAAGAGCCTGGGCCTGGCGTCTGTCTCCACCCCTCTACCCCCAGCCTCCCTACCCACCCTATCACTGACCTCCATGATGTCTTTGATAATCGGGGTCCATCGTGACAGCTGGTAGGTCTGCTCACTGATGCGCTCCTTCCGTTCTGGCTTGCTCCTGCGACGCAACGTAGACTGAACGCAAACATACAAGATTACCGTCAGGACCACGTGGACCACAAAGGACCGTGCTGGCCTCCGGAAATTCTCCCCAAGGACCCCTTTCAGACAGCAGCAGGGCAAGCACTAACGAGTGGGAGTGTTTTCCCTCGAAAAGCCAAAAGCATGCCCTTCGAGGAGTTGGAGCCAAGTTGTTGTTGTTTTTTGTCTTTTAATATTTTACTTTATTATTACTATTTTTTGTTGTTGTTAGTCCTCACCTGAAGACATTTTTCCATTGATTTTTAGGAGAGAGGAAAAGATAGAGAGAAACATCGATGTGAGAGAAACACATTGATTGGTTGCCTCATGTACCAGGGCCTGTGCCAGGGAGGAGCCTGCAACCAAGGTATGTGCCCTTGACCAGAATCGAACCTGGGACCTTTTGGTCCACAGGCCGACACTCTATCCACTTAGCCAAACTGGCTAGGGCTTATTTTTTAATATTTTAAATTGAATTTTAGAGAGAGGAAGGAAGAGGGAGAGAGAGGAGAAACAGTGATGTGAGAGTAAAACATTTATCAGTTGCCTCCTGCGTGCCCCATACCAGGGACCAAGCCTGCATAAGCCCCCAATGGAAACTGAACTGGCAACCTTTTGGTGCACAGGACAATGCCCAACCCGCTGAGCCACACCAGCCAGGGCCAAACTTGGCTCTTTAAAGTCACGGCAGATACAGGTCAAATTAAAAAAAAAATCAGGGAGTTAAAAAGAGGAGTTTGCTGTCGGCTGGCACCAAGAGAACATACTGCCTCGGGTGTGACTTACTCTCTGGTTTTGTTTCAACTGCACAGGCTGTACTGCAGGCATCATCTCCATCCTCACTCTGGTCCCTTGTGAACATGGGTCTAAAAGGCCAGTTACAGGCTCTGGTCTGGTGCTCCGAGCAGCACCTGCAGCTCTAGCGTGGTCAGCACTGTGGTCCGTGCCTGGTCCCTGCCTGGGGGCTCCTTGCGGGGTGCTGTGAAGAGTGCTCAGGACTCTTCCTCATCCTGGGCCCCCACCCCCAGCCTCTCCTATAGCCCGCTGTGGGCTGGGCCTCCCAGACAAGCTGCCCTGACTTGGTCCTAGGTCAGTGGCAGTGTGGATCCTCACGGAAGAAGCTGTGTCTGGGTGTCCAAAGGCAGAGCCAGGCCGACCTGCAGGCATGGCTCCTGCCATGGGCTGGTCCATGGTATGGCTCAGCTTTGGTGGCCGTGCTCCGCACCCACATGGGCACGTCGGAGCTCCTGGCGCTAACCCTCTGTTACTCCCATCTCAGTATCTTTCTTCCTGATTTTACCTGCTTTCTCTTTCTCAGTGTTGAGCGTGTGCCTCATAAGCTGCCTAAGTATGTTAGGGGAGAAGAGAAAGACCTGCCAGCTTCCCTCCTGCTCACCCCCCCACCCCACCCCCGCAAGGCTGGCCCTTACGTCGGTGACGATGGGCACACCCAAGTGCGCCATGTTGGTGATGATCTCGCTGTCCTCTGGGGGGATCTGGGCGTGCTGGATCAGCTTGTTCAGGTTTTCCTCAGTGATGCCTGAGAGAACAAAACCGGTCACCACACCCGTCCTGCACGGTGCACGCTCAGAGCCCACCCACCACCTGGCGGAAGGGGGGAGCGCCCTTCTCCTCGCCACTGGTGGAAATTAACCTGCTCATGGCATCACTTCACCATACGGCAAGGACCAGGACTCCTGTTCCACGCTAGCCACTCCATCCCGTGTTGCGACCATCGGCAATTCCCCCTCCAGTCTGTTTCCCTCGTCTCCGCTTCTCAGCCACCCCTGCCACCCTGGGCCCACATCCAAGTCTGCGTGGGCAAGTCTCTGTGCCCATCTTTTTGCACAATGGACACATATGAGCAACTATGGTGGGGTAAAAATCAGTTATTTAAAGGCACAGGCTACAAGTGGTGCAAGTTCAGGGTGTCTGGCAGACGGGCTTCTGCTTTAGGGGTTCCCCCGCCCCTCGGTCCTCGGCTGTGAGACCCGTATCACTGGTTAACCTGGAACTACTGGGGGCACAACCTCCAGTGGAAATTGATTGGCCTTCGTTACATTTCCCCAAACGTAAAGAGCCCCCGGGATCTTCTTGTCAAATGCCCTTCCACTCCTTTAAACCACTCTCCCACGTGCGTGGTCCCCCACTACCCTCCTCATGCGCCCCATACCTACCATTCTTGAGAAAGATGTAGAGGAGGATGATGCGGATTTTGTCGTAAGTGCTGACATTTGCGTCCAGCAGAATGGGGACAATAGCTCTCATGGGGTCCTTGATCTTCTCGCCTTCAGCATCTGTGCCCATGGCCAGGTCCTGCGGAAAAGACACCGTGTTGGTCCCACACTGGTGACAGTCTGGACAGGCGGCAACTATTAGGAAACTGCTGGTCCGTAAATGTCTGGGATGTGGCGGGTTGGTGAAGGGCTTGAGCAGGTACTTCTACGCTCACGACGCCGGCCAGCACCCGTGTAACCAGCACCGTTTTCTGGACCATCAGCGGGAAAAAGCTCCAGGTGTCACTCCAATGCCTCGCCATCTTGTTTAAAACTGGCTGTTCCCTTCCGGAAGTGCCAGTGAACCTGTGCCGGCCTCAGGGGAAGCTTTGAGCCAGGGCAGCAGGCTCAGCCCGGCAGGAACTGTTGGTCCTGTTCTCAGAGACCAGCAGCTGCAATTCCTCTGTGGCCCTCACAGAAGGCGCCTGACGGTTTCCGTTTTCCCCTTAGGATCCCAGGCGTTCCTAACAAGCTTGACAAGTTCATGGCCTCTTCCCAGTCTGGGTGGGAGGAAGGCAGGCACCTCTCTAGACCCCTTCACCTCTCGGTCCCACCACCAGCCTCACGCATGTTTGTTCAGCAGGACCTGATCCTAACCCTTTCCAAAAGTCAAATTAAATGTAACTGGTCCACCAAATACCACTGAGCACTCTGAAACCCTAACTTCTGAGGACCAATCCCGACCGCGCTGTCACTGATGCAGAGATAACCCACTCTCTGGCGGTGAAGGAGGACCTGAGTCTGCCAACATCACCCAGGACACGGACGGGTTCAGCAGGGCTGCTTCCATTCGAAGAGGCGATGAATGGGGGCAGGTCTTTCTAGCCCAAGCTGAGCCCTTCACATCAAACCAGATGTACATCCCAGCATCACACTGAGAACTTGAGCTGTTTTCACTGTGAGGAGGGGCCTGCTGCTGAGAGCCCTCTCTCCCTGAGAAGCTGCCCCTGGCTGCGTCATGTTATCACACTGAAGAACTGAGTGCCAGCCTACTGACCCCACACCACACCACACCACAGAAGTCATGGCAGCACTGTATTTCCCTTTGCAGATGAAGAAAATACAGAGAGAAATGGGCACAGCAAACACATCCGTGACAGAAACACAACTCAAATCCCAAACTCTGACCGCACAGCCCTAACTGTGATCAGTGAGGCGGGGCGAACTCGCCACAAGCTGCTGTGGCTGCAGCAGGAGGAAAATGCATTCGGATATACAACTCAGCCGGGCCCCGCCCTGTAGGGCTCAGAACTCGGAAAGCCAGACATGCAAAATCCAAACGGCATGGCATTCTAGACCACCAGTCCCTACCCGTGAGAGTATACGGCACTGGCTCGAGAGGTGAGACCGCACAATCTCGTAGGCTTTTCTGTCTCTGCTTCCTATGATTCTGCAGGATGTTCAAAGTCAGAGGTTAAACTTCTGCTGGAGAAGTGGTCAGGGCAGGAAGAGAGGGAAAGGGTCCTACCTGCTCCACCCGGCAGAGCTTATCCACAGTGCCTTGATAATGCTTCATGCAGTCCTCGGCGAGGTGCAGGTGGGTGGAGTACTAGGAAAAAGCAGTTTGTGATCAAGATTACTCACTGACATGTGTGACACCTACCTGTGATGCATAAACACTGGGCCAGACACCAGGGAATCACCAGCCTCACGCAGGCCAGCACACAACCATCACAAGGCAGGGAATTACGTGTCGAGAGAGAGGGACAAACCACATTCAAAGGGTGGAGAAGAGGGAGGAATCCTTTGTGGGTGGGATGGGGTGGGATGATGGCTGCACAATGTGCCCATAATTCTTGGCTATTATTCCTCCTGGAGGAGGAGCTTAGTCCCTCTCCGTGAGTGTGGGCTGGTGTAGTGACTCGCTTCTAAGGAACAGTGCGGAGGAAGTGATGTGTGACATCCTGGATCAGGACGGGGAGGGCATGTGACTTCTCTCCAGCTTTCTCTCCCGGGTCACTCATTCCAGGGAAGCGAGATGCCAAGTTGTGATGACACTCAAGCAGCCCTGTGGCGAGGCTGATGAGAAGAGGAATAGGAAGAATGGAGAGAAACAGATGGAGAGGAGAAAAGTTATAGAAAAGAAGCTGTCTCCCCCAGCCTCCCATTTTGGTCTAATAACGACGGGATGACTGGAGATCCGTGGATGCCAATAAACCAGTGAGTGTGCTAGGACTTGGAGACACTTTTCTGAAGCTGATTCCACTCACGATCACACTCAATCACTTAGGATCGCCGTACCTTGCTGAGCTCTTTCTGGTACTGGGGCATTTTCTTCAGCATCTGGGACAGGTCCCGCATGGTGGTCTGTAAGGAAAGGAAAGCAGACGGTCTCATGCCCGTGGCCTTGACCTAGGAGGCTGAGCAAGTGTGATGGGCGCAGGAGAGGACAGCAGCCAGCACCGAACCCCCAGGTGTGTTCTGTAACTCTCAAAATAAATCCATTACACACAAGATCATGTGTGTTCAGAGTGCCAAGCCTCTGGTCAAATAATTATTGACCCAAATAGCATGACTGTCTCATAGGTGGAGAAATGAACTTTGGAGCCCAGCAATTATGTGTTATTTGTTGGACTAGAAAGTTACTGAGAGCATAACTCTTGCCAGGAAAGAACACGTTTTTGTCCATCCTCTGCCTCTCTGCACCCCCAGCTCAAGCGCTCTAGGCACCATGTTCATGTTGGAAGGCTGCAGCTGAGTAGACAGGAACATCAGGGAGAAGGTGAAAAGGCTGGACTCTGCATCCTGACAGGTGAAAAGGGTCTGCTCACTCTCTAACTGTGTGGCCACCTAATCCCACTCATTTACCCAACAAAAATTTATTAACTTACTACCACATTCCAGATACTTTTAGGTGCTGGACATATAAGGACCAAAAATTAAAAAAAAAAAAAAAAAGAAAAATTTAAAAAAAGAAAAAAGAATTTCACGTATTTCTGCCTTGAAGGAGCTCACATTTGGCAAAGGAACTATCCAGTTGAGTGGCTTGGTGCTCTCTGTGGGTGTCAGTGTGGGTGCACAGAGCAGAGGCACTTGACCAGTCCAGGAAGGAGTAGGGAAGGCTCCCGTTCCTCCTCAAAAAAACAGCACCCGACCTAGCCGGTGTGGCTCAATAGATTGAACGTTGTCACATTCACCAAGAGATCACCAGTTCAATTCCCAGTCAGGGCACATACCTGGGTTGCAGGCTCGATCCCCAGTAGGGGGCATGCCGGAGGCAGTGGATCAATGTTTCTCTCTCTCTCCCCTCCTCTTTCTCTAAAAATCAGTAAAAACAAACATATTTAAAAACAAAAAAGCATGACACCTGAGCAAAGGACTGGGACTTCACATGGCAAGGCCCAGAGAAGGAGCTCAGGCGTGGCTGCAGCAAGGTGGTGGGGACAAGGAGGCAGACAGAGATGTCCCAGACCAGAGAGCCTCTGGAGCCTGATGGCCCAGGTTCCAAACGATGTACCAGTAGGTGGGACTGGATTCTCCTGAACGGGAAGTCACTAAAAGGTTTAAGCCAGGGAGTGACACCATCAGAGCTTATCTCCCTCTGCTGATGGGTAAGCCACTTCTGTGAGCAGCAGGATAGGAGAGGCCCAGGAAAGTTAGGGCAGGAATTCTAATTCCTCCACAGGCTAAAAAAGGCTTCACAGTTCTTCCGGCTTAAAGTGAATCGTGATCCCAAACAGCAAATATAGATCCTCAGAGTAACAAGAAGCAGCTCTCTATAAATACCAGAAGACGGGGTTCCGGATCTCAATCTCGAATGCAAAAGTAAGGCAAAAACGATCACGGACGAAGGAGGACTATGGCCCCCAGCTCCCCAGCCCGATGCCGGGAGGTGTCCTCCCTGCTCCCAGGGAGAAAGCAGGGTCAGCTGAGGCGCTGCAGCAGCAGCGTGGACCTACCTTCTCGCCAGTGTTCATTCTCTTGCTGGAAGAAAAGTCTTTCAGAGAACGGGTCACTTCCCTGGAAGACAGAAGAAGGCAGCTAAGTCTCAAAGCTGCTCCCAGAGCCTCTGTATGAACGATATTGAATAATGTAAGGTTCTTCCTTTAGGAAGGGATTTATCATCAGAGGTTAGCAAGTTGGCCACTTCTCTGATGAGCTCCAGCCCAGCTGCCCAGAGGGCAGCTGGAAACAGCACTGGGGAGAGAGATGCGTCGCCCCGCCCCAGAGGAGGGCGGGAAGGCTCTTACTGGGACACCTCTGCGATGTGCTTGTGGCGCAGCGTTATCCAGAGGTCGTCGTCCTCGTCCAGAAGCACTTCCTTCACCCGCGCCTCTCCGATGCCGCTCGTCTCATACCTAGAGAGGGGAGGGCCCACAATCCATCCAAGTCCCCTCAGGTTTGCAACAGCCAGAGCTCACTGTCCTCAGCGGACGGATGTCCTAAATGACTTACAAGCCCCAGGACCATCTGGTGTCTGCAGATTGGGCACTAATGGCTGCAATGCCTAGGGCAGAGAGCTCTAACCAAGGTCAACTGACACGGAGCTCTGTTTTAGATGCCTCAGGGTCAGCTGACTTGAGTGTCACCTGGGTCACGTGGCTCAGGGTGTGAAGTCAGGTTATAGGTGAGTTACAATGGAAACACAGAGATCCCCCTTTGTCCCTCCCTCAGAAAGGCCTGGGCACCATCCTCCAATGTGGGATGCCTGGCACCTTCAGCAGTGGCCTGCACAGGCCCTCGGCTGAGGACTCCTGTGGAAGCATGAACACCTAAGGAAGGCAAGAACCACAGGTGCCAACGGGAGAGGAGCAGAGATCCGCTCATGGTTTCAGAACCTTCATTCGGAACCACTACCTTTATGGTCAAAGTAAATGACATGAGAACAGTGCAGCCTGTTTCCATCAAAATAAAATTAGTTTTTAGAAACTGAATGTCTAATGATTTCTACCAAGAAAAATGTTTATAATGAAGAAAACGGCTCCTCTGCAAATGCGTTCACTGAGAAACTCCTGTGGATATGCTTGTCATCAGATTTGATCATCTGCAAGTATTACTCAATGCTGCAAAAGATATGCACACGTGTGCAAATGAGAGCCGACTATGGAGGGGGGAACTAAGTCCTTGTTCTCCCCCAAAGGGGCCCGAGTTCCTGGCTAGAAGTGCTGTGAGGATGTTGGGAAGGCACAGACAAGCTTGCAGGCTAACTGACAAGACTATGGGAGCACCCACTTTTCCTAGGATCGATGGCACCCTGTCCGTAAGTCAGAGGTGTTTCTGGTTCATTTACAAAGCTGCAGCCCCTCCGGGTGAGCATACTTACTTGTACACATCATTCTCGATAGGCAGCAGATCGTAACTCATAGCCTGAAAGGTCAGCTCATGAAGGACAGGGGAGCTGGGGTCGAAACCGCGGTCCAGGATCAGGAGCTGGGAGCGAGCCTTGTCTGGGCCCTAGAGGGAAGGACACGGGGACTTTCACAGGCCGCTCTGCAGAGCTGGCTTCTGCAGCCCGCGTGGCCCTCCTGTAAAGGGGCAGCAGGCAGTGAACTCGGAGACAAAACCTACTAAAATAGCGCAGAACACAGTCCCTTCACTGCTTGACAAGAATACCAGCCCACACGTGAGAAGCCAGTTGTCTGTCACAGTGAGTGTCCTTTGAGGCGGATCTGGAACGGAGGCTGGTCCGCGGTGAGCTCCCAAAGAGCGTCGCTGGGCTCAGCTGCGAACGGGGCTGCCCACCATGCATGTGCCCGGGGCCGAGGGGTTCAGGCCCTGGGACTTAGGATTGTAAATCCGAGATGATGAGGAACTCTGTGCCTTGACTGCAGTGGGTTTACAGGAATCTATACATGTGATACAATTAAACAGAACTTTCTCTCTCTCTCTCTCTCTCTCTCTCTCTCTCTCACACACACACACACACACACACACACACACACTAGTGAAATCTGCATATCTGTTTTCTGGGGTTGTTCTACAGAGGGGGTTCCAGTGCTAAATCTGGGGTCGTCCCGGATAACAGAAACGAGTTGTCACCCTGTCCACCCTGATCAGCCTCAGTCAGCCTGCCCACGGAGCTGAGCTTGTCACCACAGGCCATGAGCAGGGACAGCAGCACTTGCGCCTGCTCTGTGACAACCGCGCTGTGCCGAGAACTGCCACCCCGGCACTCAATCACCGGTGAGAGAACCCCATGGTCCACGTCCACCTACCTCGCCCATGGTGGGGTCGTCGGCTTTGTAGGCGTCGAGCTTGTCCTGGATTAGCTGGGCCAGCAGGGCATTGTCCTTGTACTCCCTGCCGAGGAGGAGAGACACGGTGACGGGCCTCGGGGGAGAGGCGGGGCAGCGTGGGCAGGTCAAGGGGCACGCGCGTTTCGCCTGCATTGCTCGTTTACAATGAGAGTATGGTCACATGTGCATGTACAATTAAAAAGAACAAACATAATCAAATCTTTAGCTCTGTTCTGAGAACAGAAACGAGTGAAAAGCAGCTTCCAATGAACAGCCCATCAGCAGAGGGTCCTGACCACCCATCCTTTCCCTGTGATCGGCCATCTAAGCCCGACCCACCTGAGTCTCCCTTCCCTCGACTCAGATCCCTTTGGGTCTTGTTTGCTGGAAGTGAGCACCTCTGACCCTTACCCCGGCTCAGCCTGACAGCGTTTCCCGGCCCCTCCCGGCTGTACAGTGTGGTGCCGCCTGCCACCTGGCCAGGCTCGGCTAAAGCGCCTCTGCTCCCGGCCCAGCCTCCCACGAGTGAACGCCAACCCGCCACTCCTCAGTCAGGAGAGGGCCTGGGCCCCCCTGTCCAGCTTTTGTCAGGAAACACCCACACAGAAGGGCCGGTCGCTGGGGCAGACCAAGGGAGGCGTCGTTCTACAGTTGCACGTCCAGCAGACAGAGGTGACAGGCTGGCTGCAAACTGACCCCTCAGCTCCTCTGGCTCCACTTTCTCCGCACCTGACTCCTGCGTTCACAAAGGTTTCCGGGGGACAGCCGCTGACGGACATAACCCAAAGCTGGCATCCGAGTCCTCAGAAAGGCCCCATCTCACCCCTGCCCTATGCACACACTGTGCCAGACTGCCCATCCTCCTCAAACTTGCCCTTGGTTCCTCCAGCTCCACGCTTAAGCTCAGACCAATGGCAAAGCCAGCCGTCCACAGAAAAGCCCTCTGGTCCTCATAGGTCTTTTGAAATCCAAACCAGTCCTTCAAGGACCTAGTTCCAACGTCCCCTCTAGTCTGACTGCTCTTGGTCCACTCAGCTCGAAGGGCGGAAGGGCTCCAGGCTGCTCTGCCCTTGGCATATCTCCAGGGCTTACAGGCAGGTGTGCCCAGCTACGGCCCATCTGCTGGGATGTTCCCTGCCTGCCCAGATCAGGGCTGTGTCCTCAGGTGGCGTCTCCCTAGCACTGAGCACACAGCAGGTGAGTGATACATGGATGAGTTCATACAACTTGACTGTGACCTTTAGAAAATTATTTGTCTTTTACCTTACTCTGAAACATCTTCTGCAAAGATGATGTTTGTTTTTAAAGGTTAGAAAGAGATGAAAAACTATAGGGAACCTGGGTGGCCATTACATAGGGGTTCATAACTAAATATATCTGTATATTTCATGCACTTTTCTGTATTAGTATAGTCCATAATAAAATTTAAAAAATAAACTATTGGGAGAAAATTATAAGTGTGAGACACTCAAGTCTTGACCCTGAGACACTGGCAAAGGAATGTTAAGGCCAGAGGAATCGGGACAGCTGCTCCCGAGCGCACTGCCTTACCCACGATACCGCACGGCGGGGTACTCCTTCAGGGTGGCACAGAGAGTTGCGATCTGCTCTGCCAGGCGCTCTAGTATAGGATTCTTCATCTGAGCCTTGTGGGGACTGTAGAAGCTCTGAAAAGAGTCAGCCGAGTCCAGGGAATACACCTGAGGAGGAGGCAAAGGTATACACATTTTGTGTTTGCATCCAGGATGCTGAACATCAGAATTTTCTCCAAACACGATCGTGAGTCTACAGAGCATGTTTTATCCTTCAAACCTGGGCTGGGTGTCTGCTGGGCCAGGCGCTGTGCTAAACACATGGGAACTACTCCTGACCAAAACACGATCATCCTGTGAAGTGTGTGAAGGGAAGGCAGGCAGTGAACAAACAATAAACATAATGAAAAGCAAGTTGTATGGCATGTGAGAAACTGGTATGCATGAGAAAATAATAAAACAGGGAAAGAATGCCCAGACGGGCTGGACAGGGAGGACAAGGCCGCCTCAGGTTTGAACAGGGCTTGAAGGAGGCGCAGTGTTTCTCACCAGCAGGGGGACGTCCCCATGGAGGGATGGCTGGGCCAAAACCAGAGGCCAGCGTATCTGATGAACAATGAGGAGACTGGGAGGAGAGCAGGAGGGGCGGCTAGTGTCAGACCTCACAGGCCGTTGGAGGGGTAAGTAAATAAGGGATAAGACAGAAACTGTGCTGTGACTGTGTGCAAACGGCGCTTTTTGATTAAACAATTTTGTATCCTCAGGGGTATGTTCTAATCACTTTTGCTTTTCTTTGGAGAGTTCTGGAAGTTTAAAGTTTTCTCTTAAACTACCTATCCTACCAGCTAAGTATTTTCTCAGAATCTCACTGACGTGAACTGCCCTGATCATTTAGAAAACCAGAGGGTTGTTTTTGAAGTGTCCTGCTTTTTAAAATCTACGAAATACGGTGTGCTGGGACATGCTACAGGTGGATTTTGTTCCATCCAGGTGGTGACAGCACTCACAGAGAAAACATATGCTGCCCTGAGGGGGTGGGCATTGGGCCACGTGAGCTGGGAAGGAGACCGTGTTTAAATGTCCATGCTGTACTTTTTCCATCCCTCCTTCGCTAAGAACAGGCCGCTATTTGGTGTTTAGAAGCCGATCCATAAAGATTCCATATGCCAGCAGTCGCCAAGCAGTGGTCCTCGGAGCACAGGTGGTCTGTGAAGTCCGAAAGGTTGGCGACCGCTGCCATATGCCACAATCACTTTTATCTCTACAAAATGCATAAATGTCCAGTTATCTCATTTCTTTGTTTGCAGACCTTTTAACAAATCTTAAGACTAAGACACACATTCTGTACGCTCGCTATCAGCTTCTCCTCTGCTGGTTTAACAACTTGGTGTTTTCCAAGCGGGCGGCTGGCTGCCGCCCTCCTGGCAACCGTCATTAAGGGCTAATGACGAAGGCTGCCATCTGTTCACTCAGCACGTGACAGGCTGAGGTTATCTCTTACACAGAAACAGTCCCTTCACGGCAGATGGGCGTCGTCTGATCCCTTCCCATCTCTCCCTCCAGGCTCTTTTCGGATTGGCTACCTTTTGGATATCAGGACTCAGAGTGTTGGGGTGAATGCCAGGAGTGTACACAAAGGCTTTAAAGGGTCAGAAATAAATGCAGGGTAAGATGAAGGCCGGGCAGACCCCTAAGGAATACCGCCTCTTTCCATTACATAAACGTCCGCTCACAACCCCTCATTCAGTCTTCCGGAACATGACACCTTCCCTCCGCACTCTGCGCACTGCACCCCCACCCACCCTCTCAGAGCTCCTGAGGAATAACAAGGATGCAGAGCTCCACTCGCTGCCTACCAGCCTCACCTGGGACTCGTAGGGGAGAAACGCAATGTTGATTTCCGTCAGAGTCTTGATGACTTTGGCTGCTCGAGATTTTACCAGCTCGTTAAACAAGGCATCTGGACAAGCTGCAGGAATGACAAAAGCCACTAGGTTTTCCTGTCCCTTTGCTGGTTAATTTCAATAGTCACATGTGTCTGGTGGATTCTTCATTTATTAGCATTTTAAAAAAGAAAATAAAAAGTTAATTCCTTCCTAAAACATCCACTACCTGTAGGCTATAAAAATAATATAAAAACACCCATAAGGCCCTCAACATAGAACAGAGAAACAATGGCAATAAAGACTGAGATACTGACAGCTAATAAAAACTCTTTTCTGATATCAAGGACAGGGAGGGAAAACCCAGAAGAGATTAAGGGGTAGGGAAAAGACCTGCAATATACACAACACCATGCATCTGACATGCTCGTGAAAAATAAAATAACGAAAAATCTATCACTGGGCAATGCGATGCTGGTGTCTCCCTGGACCTTGCAAGGAACTCAGCTGCTCAGGACCCCCTTGGTGGGAACCATGGTTCACACGGCTCTCCTGGGCCTAATACGGGTGCAGGTCCCAGAAATGCATTCCTGTTTCATTATTACTCATGCTGCCTACCTGCTCTCCTTGTCACCCCCATTCAAACAGTATAAAAGTACTCTTTGCCAGAACCTTCCCCCACCTTCTCGGGGTAAGTTTAGCTGATTTTCCTTCAGAGAAGAACACTAGGGAACCTACTATTGTTATGCGCTCTTTAGCTATTCCGCCTCCCTCATCTCTCTGCTGGTAAAGATTGGCCATGGTGTTGTGTATATTGCAGATGTTAGTACACCGGCTCTTTGCACACAAATCCACAGAATAACAGAACGGACTCCAGAACAATGATGCCAGTCTGGCTGAGATAAGACCAGATGAAATCTTTGTGGTTGAAAACGGATGGACATGCACTATAGTCTAGTGGTATCTGGAAGTCCATACGGTGGGACACCAAGGCTGGCACCGGGGAATTCTGCTCAGCAGTAAATCCTCTAGTCCTAAGAAGAGGTGCTATTTTTTTTTTATTAGAAAGAACTGCACTAGCTAGAAGTTTTGCATATGTATGTGCGTATTTTTGTCTCTTATGCAATATTTCTTCTAAAAGAAAAGAAAAATCAGGACAACCATGGCAACAGCCCATTTCTTCCCCGTTGCCCTGGCTCGGTTCTGGTTCGGCCGCAGAAAGGCTGAATGGGCAGCATCTGACAGCCGTACTCACAGTCAGTGAAGAAGACATGGGCAGCCCGGTACTTAGCAGTCGGTGGGTCCTTAAAGTCATTCATGAGGGAGCGGATGGACTGTGAAGAGGGATAAAGAAGGGAACTGAGCCCAATTCTAGAAGCAAATGGAACCTATATCTGGTCAAAATTAAATCCAAGAAGGCGTTCAAGCTACTTGCACACAATAGCAGGGGATTTTTAATGTATAATTCTAACTCATGTTTGGGGATTTGCAACTAGGGTTATTTGGGAGTTTAGATGAATAAAATCTTTCTTAGTCATTCCAGTGTGATAGTGTCAGTTCTTTGATGCCACCATAACATGGGTTCCTAAGAAGAGACCCACAAAAGAGGAAACTGGCCAAAAACTTTCCTGGAGATTCACACCGATGAAGTTCTAGCAGTGTAGTTGCATCTTCAGAAACTCACACGTAGGCCAGCTTTTACAAGGGAAAGAAAGTGTGAAAACTGCGGGCAACTTATGGACTGAGAGACAGGCTAAGACAACTACTAGCCAAAAGCCAGGAGGTGGACCTGGTCTGGATGCGGATTGAACCAACCCTCCAACATGATAAGACAGGCAATTCCAAACACTAATGGGACGTTGATGCAGTCAACCTGAAAGTATAAGTACTGAGTTCGGAAGGTTGGTCCCTAACTGGATAAAGTGGACGCCTACCCCGAGAGGGAGTGCAAGGGGGAAGCCGAATGGCCTGGCACAGGCTTTCTGGACAGCGGTGTATTTCAGAAAGCGTAAGGCTCTCTCCACTCCTCTCTGCCTCTCCGCCCCCCGATGTGAACTGCGTGGTTAAGCCGAGCAGTGTGTTAAATGCTGGAAACGGCAGGCACCACTGCGCAGTCGCCAGGCCAGCACGTGTGGACTCAGCCAAAGTTCCCTCGGGGGAGCACTCACCTTCTCGGACGGAGTGATGAGGTACACAGCCTCCAGGCTGGGCAGTGGCTCCCTGCACTTGTTGATATCTTCCACAACTAGACAACAAAACAGCAGCCGCCGTGAGTAAGAAAACGCACTGGTCATCACAAGACTGGAAGTGACAGGCACAGGCTACCTCAGACAAGCACAGATAAACATCGGGGGGGGGGGGGGTCACTGCCCCTTCCTGAGAGTCACCGCTTTCCACTGTCCCACAGTGCTCAAGATTTTAGAAAACCTGAAACCTATCACACTACACATTCTCCACTCCCCATTTCGGTTTCAGTAAATGCCTGGATCTGCTCTGATTGAAAATCTGCCCCTTCCTCCAGGTTTTGTTGTTGTTGTTCATTTGTCCCCCAAAATCCAAGCTCCTTTAGAATTCCCCTGCTGGGTTTGTTTAGCGACCCTTGGCCAGTTTTACCATTTTTCTCTGAATATCAAATGAGGACATACCCTCTCAATAGATCCGAGGCCAAACGTTACACATTGTTAAAGCAAAGCAGGCTTTTGGTCACTTCTTTCCTGGCTGTGTCCCCACCTAGCGGGACGAGCTCTGGGAAGCCGCCCTCTGACAGGCACCCGGCACAGCACCTGGTGAGTTCAGCGTCACCCCTGCTGGAACACCCCGGTACAGAGAGTGCAGCGCTGTGGGGCCCTTACCTATGCAGGTGGTGAGGGAAATAAGCGCATCACTGCAGAAACAATTATAAAGACTCCTCATCCCAATAATGTTCAAATTAATACCAAACCCTTCAACCCATTTACTTCACCAGGGGCTGTATACTCTTGAGTTTCATAAGCCAATAATACTTTACCCAAAAATGTTTTGGGATTCATCAAAGGGTTGCTAACTTCTAAATTTTTCCAAATAAGGGCACTTTTAAACAGCTACCCTTGGGGTAGGGAAGCGTCTGTGTGCAGCAGGAGAGAGCTGAACCCTCATCTACACCACAGGAAGTCAATAGATAATGTCTAGCATCGATGGATCAGGAGATAATATTACACCGAGTGGCCAGATTATTATGATCTCTGAATGCATAATAATCTAGCCACTCAGTGTATATATAATATAATATTATATAACATAACAATATACACACACACACATACACACATATATATATATTAGAGGCCCAATGCATGAATTTGTGCATGGGTGAGGTCTGGCCAGCCTGGCCAGGGGGAGGGGACATGGGCGGTTGGCCAGCCTGCCTGCTGGTTGAACTCCTGGACGAGGGGACAATTTTCATATCAGTCTCTTATTATATAGGATATATTCTGAGTGGCCAGATTATTATGCGTTCAGAGATCACAATAATCTGGCCACTCAGTGTGTAAGTATTTATTTAGAAAAATAAAGAAGATAACCAGAAGCAAGAGCAAGGTGGCTGTTTCTGGGGTGACTGGCCAGGGGTGGGGGAGAAGAGAGTGGCACAGGGCATTGCTGCGCCTTTGCTAGAAGCTTGTTAGCTCCATTGGCTTTCTCCTCCCCTGACCTTTATACACGTTTTTTCTTTATAGAGAAAAACATAGTTTAAAAACTAATGAAAATAAGTCTGTAAGCTCAAAACATCCAACCATAGGATGCTTCAACTCTCCTAGACATTGCCAAGAGTTTTTCAAAGGAGCTGTACCACTGACACTCTGTCATATAGAAATTCCCATTTTCCTGCATCCTCTCTTTCAGTTGGCAGTATCAGAGTTTAAATATTCAAGTCTGGTGAGTATACAACCATTTCTCACTCTGGTTTTAATTGTAGTTCCCTGGCCCTTAAAATGGGTAAGCAATTTTTCATGTATTTATTGGCCATTTTGGATTTGTTCTTTTTTTAAGTGCCTGTTCAGATCTTTGGCCCATCCCCTGCCCCCCTCCCCACTATTGGATGGCCTGCCTTTCCCCGTGACTCAGCCTTCCTTTCGGCATCCTTGAGCAGATATGGAATGAGCGCTTAGCAGTGGCTCAGGGATTCAGGGATGAACAAAAGCCCTGGGTCTCTCAGGAACTTACAGTCTTACCACCCAGGACGGTGGAAGAATCTAACATCCAGTGGATAACATTGAACAGGGAGGAGGGAAGCTGGCACAAAGGGGAGGCCTGAGTGTCACTAACGGGCAGAGAGAATGGTGCGCTCACTTGTTATCCCCTCGGTCATGATGTCCGTCATCTTACAGCAGGAGGAGAGCATCCTCATGCTCAGCTGATCGACCACCAGCACCTGGAAGCAGAGAGACCAGCTTACAGCCCGAATGGCACCTTCTCGCTCTTTTCATCAGCTCTCCGCGTCAGACTTCAACATGAGCCCAGCGTGCAGAACAGAGAGGCAGTATTTCCTAGGGGCCAGCAGAAGTTTGCTGAAATGCATGCTAGCTTTTCCCCACACGCTAACCTAACTTGGGAGTTAAGAGCTTGCTCTTACTGACTTAATTTTTTTTTAAATTAACCTTTTTGTTTTTCATGATAGAGATCAATTACTTATAAAATTGCAAAGAAAGAGAGAGAAAAATAATCTATAGCACCCACACTCAGAGAAGCTATACTTGAGCATCTTTTCTCAGGGCATAGCTTTTTCTTAAAGGGACAGTGAGCACTCGCGCCACAAGGACAGTCGGGACAGTGGGGACTGTTACAATGTCATCTGGACACACCTTCACCAAAACATACATCATCTGGGACAAACTGCGCTTCAGTCCAGACGGGAGGGATGAGACATGCCATTGGGCCTAAAAGTTTCCTGCCTGCAGTTCTTCAGCTAACCTGTCCTAGCTCCATTCAGCCAGGGTGGACCGAGAGATGCAGCTAAAACAAGGCTAGTTCTCTCCCTCTTTAATGATGTAAGCTGTGGGAGCAGAGGCTAGACACCATGTGGTCCAGAAAGCACCCTGCTGCAGCTAAGGGCCAGTGTTCATCCTATGCAGCAGCTTCCTCGAGATCCTTTTAACACTCTAGGTCCACAAAGCCAGGCCTAGAGTTCCCACCAGATGGCCTCCCACTCTGGTGGGGAGGGGGGGTGTGCTGCTAAAACAGCTCACAGGTCTCGGGAGAGACCTCAAAACCCTCCTGTGCCGTAACCTCTGCTGCTCCCGGCCGACAGACTTGAAAACTCGCAGGCCAGAGTGGTTGGAATAGACTTCGATAGCACACAGGGAAATTCATGCAAAACTGATGCTCTCCCCGCAGTGTAAGGCCCGGCACCCCACAACCAAGTGGCCCTTAAAACGCTGCCTTCGTGATGGAGGGCGGCACGCTGCCCACTCCTCGCGTCACCCGCTCCAGGAACTGAGGCCATGATCAGTGTGATGGACTAAAATACTTGTTTCATGTACATTGTATGTGAAACAGCCAGCATTGTTCTCAAAGTTACATGAATAAACAGTGGTCACTGACAGCTGGGGCTCTCCACAGGGTGTGCAGGCTCCATGAGAGGCTCGACGGCTGCCAGAGGGGCCGAAGCGCTAGCCTTCCTCTCCCTCAGTGGGCAGACTCCGCCCTCTCCTGCTTGTATGTGGTTCCAGCTAAGATTCTGTTTGAATAAAAGAGTTCCACTGCGGACCTGCCTCAGATAAGCCCTAAGACCAAGAGATTTCATAACCGGGATCATATCAAATGAGAGGCATAAGCAGATTACTTTTCCTGATGTTATTCTCTGGACACAACAAAGGTCTTCACGCTCTGCCTCTCCACCTTCCCCCCCACTGTAATTCTTTCCACGTGAACTCACCTTTAAGGACATTAATTACACTGTTCTGCTTACCTTCCACTCCCCCTTCTTCTTTACCTTCTTTATCACATCATGCATGATCTCTGAGAAAGGAGGGCAGAGAAAGGGAGAAGGAAAAGGAGAAAGGAGACTTTAATGTACTTTCAAGGACTTCGACTCCTGCCTCCAAGACTCGGTCGTTTTTCTCCCCAAAGGTTTTGTTCTCGTTAACCAGTCTGTTCACTGAGCCAGACTCAAGCCACCATAAAGTTTTCTTCCTGCCCTGGCCTGTGTGGCTCAGTGGTAAGCTAGGGCCTGTGAACCAAAGGGTCACAAGTTGGATTGCCAGTCAAGGGCACCTGGGTTTCAGGTTTGGTCCCCGGCCACATGTGTGCGAGGCAACCAATCCATGTTTCCCTCTCACATCGGTGTTTCATCTCTCGCTCTCCCACTCTCTCTAAAAATCAGTGAGGATTAACAACAACAAAAAAGAGTTCTCTTCCTGTTTCCTTAATTTGGTGGTCCTCAAACTTTTTTGGTCTCAGGGCTACTTTACACTTTTAGAAATTGAGATTCCCTTAGAAATTGAGGGTGTAGAGTTTCTAAAGATTCCCTTTAGAAATTGAGGGTGTAGAGTTAGTCTCTGTCATTCCCCTTTACACACGCGTGTCCCTGGCCATGCAGGTTTCATAGGGAATGCCGCTTTTACCGCCCTTTCCTGACCCAGGTGGTAAGCAGGCCTGTTAGCAAGTGTGTTTCAAACCTGTAGGTCATTCTCTGGAGCACAGTGGTTCCTAACTCTGCTTGTGATTACTGCAGCAATCTGATGTGCAGAAAATGTGTTCTGAAATGTTTAAGAACTGTATCCCTGATTATAACAACCCACTCATGGCAGTGCTTATGGAAAACACAGAAAATATCATGTGTCACTTTGTTTACTTAAAAAAAAATAAAAAATAAAAATAAACCTGTAATCCTGTCAACTTGAAATGCTTAATGAACAGCTTAGTCATTTCCTACTAGCTTTTTCTATGCACTTACAGTTAAAATCATGCTATATACATAATTTTGATTATGCTTTTTTTTTTTCTTTCAGTCACCAAAATCATTTCCCCAGGTAATAAAAATGCTTTCTAGGATTTAAAATGCAACAATAATAGTCAATAGTTTCCCAATAGCCATTAAGATTATTTCCCGTATTTCAGAGGAATGAAAAATTAGAAACAAATATATATAATAATAGAGCATTGGTAAGTCATTTAGTTCACATTTATACAATGGAATACTATTTCCTCATTAGAAATAATGATATAGGAACTATATACATTCATTCATTCCCTCACTCAGTAACACTTGTTGAGTAGCCACTATTGGCCAGGCATGACCAAGAGCAGGGTACCACGGGGCACCCCGTGAGAAGTGGGGAGGCGGCTCTAAGACCTGGTGGCAAAGGTGAGGTTTCCTTGTTGGGGATGAGGTCCTGGCTAAGAGTGAGCAGAGTGGCCTCATATATGAAGGTTTGAAGAAAGAGGGAATCGAATATCTTCCCGAAGCCTGGGAAAGTGAATTTTGAGGTGTGTTAGCATTTCTGGATAGCATTAAGGGCTAATTTGAGGTTCGTGATAATGAATTTAATGTGAAACCGGGCAGCTCAATTGTGTTTTTTTGGTGTGTGTTTTCAAACAATGTTTGTCTATCCAGGTACAGGCCAGGAAGGAGAGAAGAGTTGGTTTCAACTAGTTTAGGGTTAGGGTTTCCCCAGGTGAGTACAACAGAGGGAGAAATTGCTCAAAATAAATGGCTAAGAGAGGGGGAAAAGAGGCATGTTACAACTATTTTCTAAAAGTATAAAAAATAAGAAAATTTAGAGTTATGCAAAATGTTATTTTGGGGCAGTAAGATTATGATTAATCTTTAATTGCTAATTTGTCTTCCTATGTTCTCCCCAGCTTTCTGCATTGAGTGTATGTTATTTTTTGTAATAGGAAATATGGTCTAAAAATAATGTCAGTGATACTGTTAGGAGAGTTTTCTGGGTATGGACTGAACAGGCAGAGTACAAATATTCTGGGCTCTTGATAAATTCTTCTGAATTATTTTCCAAAAAGCACAATTTACACCCTCACCAGTACTTGACACCCTCACTAGTACTTCACACTCTCACCAGTACTTTCCAAATTAACATACTGGTAAAATAATAACGTGAGGTGTGCTTATTTTAATCTTTGCTAATGTGTCAGCAGAAAAGGGTATATTTCACGGTTTTTATTTTAATTTATTTTATTACTGAGAATTAATACTTTCTTCTTTGCTACCACACAAAATTAATTCACATTCACTGGCTTTAAATTCAAGTTACTTTTTGATAAGGAAAGACAGAAGTAGAATAAAAAAAAAAATCAAAACAAGTATCACAAGTAGCAAAGACGGACTGACAGCTGCCATGCCAACCCTTCCGACCGACCTGCTCTGAACTTCTCCAGCATGTATTTATCGTGGTATTGTTAACAGCCAATTCTAATCCTGCCCTACATTTTTCTAATCCAACTCCAGAAAGGAAACAAGGATTAGAGCCCTTTGGAGTATTAGGAGAGTCGAGTCGCTTGGGCTACTTCCTCACAAATAATCCGCTGCCGATCACAGTCTCTCTCCCTTGTAGGTTCTCTTGTGTGAAAAGAAAGAACAAAGCCTCTGACCCTGGTGCAGCCAGCTGGTCCCATTTCTGTGTGCCAAGTCACGTGTACCTACAGCCAAAACATCACTCTGCCACCCACCTGTCAATGGAGATGGCACAGCAGAGACCAGGGAGCTTCAACTTCTCCAGAAGTACCAGCCCACGGTCCTGGGAGACTCGGCTTCCCTCATTGCCAAAGGGGTAAGGAAGTGGGTTCCTTCAACCACACCCCCTCGTCTAGATCCTAGCTAACTCCCAAACTCAGCCAGGCCTGAGAAAAGCAGCAGGTGCTCAGATTATCTGGGGCCTCTTCAGGTGCACCCGCTATGCCAGCTGGAGGCTCAAAGCTCGGACTCTAGCGATAGCTGCAAATCCTACCCACCTGGGGAAGCCGTCCTTATAGCCTTGGCAATGACTATGTAAATACATTTTGAAATAATGGTGCCAATGGACCAATACACATAAACCTTACATGTAAATACAAAATTGAACATGAGAATCCTTATCCCTTGTTGAGACAGGGACCTCTGTTTATTTAGGAACAGATGTACCCGTGTTGAATCACAGGTAGGGCCCAGAGCAGGTAAAACATTTCATGTCACAGCATGGGAACACAGGACTATATTTTTAATTCGCTATTACTTAACACTTCTGAAATTTCACTAAGACGGGCAAACAACATGAGATAGAATGATGGTAAGAAAGATGCAGAATATCTGCCTTGGGAAATCATGGGAATCAACTGAAAAACTACTAGAAACATAAAAGCATTTAGAGAGGTGGCAGATACAAAATAACTACAAAGAAACCAAGAGGACTTTGATAAGGCAACAGAGTTGCTAGGAAGACGGCTGCACTGGTTACCAGTGTGTACTGGGCTGGGGCCCGGGAACCACCCTCTGTGAATTAATTATAGTCAAAAGGTGTACCCCAAATGTCCAACTGATTAAGGGATAAATAAATGAAGAATAGCCATGTAATAAAATATTATTCAGCCGTAAAAAGGAATAAAGCCCTAAGCGGTTTGGCCAGTGGATAGAGCATCGGCCTGCGGACTCAGGGGTCTCAGGTTCAATTCCAGTCAGGGGCATGTGCCTTGATTGTGGGCACATACCCGGTGTGTGTGCAGAGGCAGCTGATTGATGTTTCTCTCTTATCGATGTTTCTAGCTCTCTCTCTCTCTCCCTTCCGCTCTGTAAAAAATCAATAAAAAATATATATTTTTTAAAAAGGAATGAAGTACTTACACATGAACAAACCTTTAAAAATGCTAAGCCCAAGAAGCCAACCACAAAGAACCACAAATTGTGTGGTTCCATTTTTTTTTAAATTGTTTAAGACCGTGGTCGGCAAACTGCGGTTCACGAGCCACATGTGGCTCTTTGGCTCCTTGAGTGTGGCTCTTCCACAAAATACCATGGCTTGGGCGAGTCTATTTTGAAGAAGTGGCATTAGAAGTTTCAGTTTTAAAAATTTGGTTCTCAAAAAAAATCGTTGTACTGTTAATACTTGGCTCTGTTGACTAATGAGTTTGCCGACCACTGGTTTAAGGTATTACAAATAGTAATATACGTTTCCTTTTCCCCCACTGAGCTCCCCCTGGCCTCTCCTATCCCTGTGTGATTCCATTTTTATGAAATGTCCAGAACAGGCAAAGCCATCGCAATAGAGTAGATTAATAGTTGCCTAGGGCCGGGGGAGAGTTGGGGGTGATATCTAAATACTACAGAGTTTCTTTGTGGGTAATGAAAGTATTCTAAAATTATGAAGGATGCACAATTCTGCAACTATACTAAAACTTTATACTTTAAATGGATGAATGACATGGTGTGTGATTCATATATCAAGAAAGTTATTTGGTTGTTTTTTTGTTTGTTTGTTTGAAGTCATCAAAGAATTTTAGATGAGCCCTTCAAACTCAAAACACAAGTGCAGTTTTGCTTAATATAAAACTATTCCATAGTGTCTTCACCTGAAGATAGGCATCCTACTTACTCCTATAAAGTATCATTTCATTATCTAAAATTACAATTTCCTATAAACCTCCATCTAAATTGTGACTTTGTGGAAGTCAGAGAGTCCAAAATAGAATCAATTGCCAGCCACAGGGCGAGAGCAGGCCCCTCCCCATACCTGCTGAAGCTGAGGACGCTCCTATTTACTGTCCGGGGTGGGGCGTGGGAGAGAAAGGAGGCCCATTGGGTGGCATGGCCACAGCTGTAGACTGTGCGGAGAGGGGTGAGCGATGACTTGATACCACTGCCTTGTCAGCACATGGAGACTGTATAAGCCTCAAATGTCCAATGTTGAACCCAAGCCTGGGGCTGCCGCCAGGATGTGAGAGGAGTGAGCAATCACAAGCAAATGTCTGACAGCTGAGAAAACAAATCCTAACCTCAGGCTCATCAAGATGCGGTTAGAGTTACTGAG